ACGAATACCATCTATTCATAACCACGACCGGCAACGTATTCAATTAAAAGACTGAACCCGATTGAAGTAGAAACCAATTATAGATCCGTAGTGCTCATTATGTTGTTCGAAAAATGAACGACACGAGTTGAATTTTTGAAAAGGGCGAGACTTTATTTTTTCTTTCATAGAGCTTAAATGTCGGTTGAGGTGAGTCACATGAAATTGCAACATAATGGCAGATTTATAATCGGCAACCCGACGGCATTCCAAGAAGCTCGAGCACTCGATGACAGGTAAGTCGCGATAGGGCTTGTCGGTTAATCGATACAATAAAAAAATAAACGACTATTTATTAAATGAGACTTTTCGAACTGATATGTTAATTTATACGATTTAATAATTGAACGTGCGGTGCGACCCGAATAACTCCGACATAGAAAACAAACATAATAACGATTTATCGATCTAACTTTCCGATCTTATATTCCCATCAATATAATGTATTTCCATATTTTGGTATTTTCATGACTTTGACCCCGATCTGAGACCAAACAACGTAGTAAACTTGTTAACTTATAAAACTCTGAAGGATTACTTGACGTATTGCTGTCGTCTATAAAAATGATCGGCCATTTATCTTTAAGATAAACTGCTTACATAACTAAGCCATCGTGGCAAAGGATTTGTCCGTTGCAATCCAGACAGCCCTTGACGTACATACATAAAGTTTTATATTCAACTCTTATGAAAAGAGATTTTTAGTGCAATTAAGATTAGTGAGACGCTTATCTGAACTGTGAACCCTTCGGACGAATTATTTCAATGTCGTATTCAATCAGTATACAATTAATAAAACAACGAATATGAAAACAAGAAAAAAAACAGAAATCCCGAATCCGATTACTTTCCACCCAGATATGATCCAAATACGACAAGATACATAAAGAATGTCAAATAATAATATTATTATGTGACATTAGGTTCATACTAGGTTCTTAATTTGTGTACCAAAACATGGGCGTAAAATTACTTAAACTTACAATGAACTCGATTATAATACACAGTTAAGATATTTGTTTGGGCGTCGTTATGATATTCGTTGAAGTCGTCGTGGCCTAAAGGATAAGACGTCCGGTGCATTCGTATCTGGCGATGCACCGGTGTTCGAATCCCGCTGGCAAAGTCGCAATTTCCTTATGAAATACGTACTTAACAAATGTTCTCGATTGACTTCCACGGTGAAGGATTAACATCGTGTAACAAAAATCAAAACCCGCAAAATTATAATTTGCGTAATTACTGGTGGTAGGACCTCTTGTTAGTCCGCACGGGTAGGTACCACCACCCTGCCTATTTCTGCCGTAAATCAGTAACGCGTTTCGGTTTGAACGGTGGGGCAGCCGTTGTACTGTAAAAACTGAGACCATAGAACCCTTGTCTTGAGGTGGGTGGCAGCATTGGCGTTGTAGATATCTATGAACTGCGGTAACTATTTAGCACCAGGTGGGCCGTAAGATCTTCAACAAATTTAAGCAATAAAAAAAAATGTTAAGAGAATATTTTATTATTAGCTAAAACGAATCATTAAGGCAAATAATCAATTTCATAAGACATAAAAAAGGAGCTACTACTCCTTTACTATATTTTTAATTTAACAACGGAAGCCGAATGACTCCGCAAGAAAAGAATCAGATTATTTTCACCGTTGTCCGGACCGAGACGGGTTCAATCTGTTGAAATAAATCGTTTCAAAACATCGGACCGACTTAAATGTGTAGACAAAAGGGACGAACCGCGTTACGAGGGAGGCAGAGAGCGTAGAAATAAACGTGATCTCTCGCCAGGAAGTTGATGCGTATAGTGTGTTGAAAAGGACATCGACTTGTTGTAACAAGTATTAAAAAAAAACTAATCCAATTTAATACATAGATTCGTTGATATTATTAAATAGCACACGTCTTGAAGATTCTTATGGAATTTGAATTAAGAATATTATATTTATATGACAAAAGGTAATTGGCCTAATTACGGGTAGGTACTTAAATCGTAGCGTGCTTGCTACCAATATAAATAATAGTTTAAAAAAAACTAACAAAAGACGCTTTTATAGAAAATCCAACTAAAAAATAGAAAATAAATTTTAATAAATTTGAAATAAAAATAATGTAAGAAAAAATGATTTACTGTAAAAAAGCGTGGGGTGCTTTTCAGGATATTATTTAAATAACCCTTCTCCTCATATCTTCATAAAATATTTATAGCTACGGATACAATGCACCCCATACTTTTTTTAAAATAAAATAATTTTTTCTTACACTATTTTTATTTCAAATTTATTAAAATTTATTTTCTATTTATTAGTTGGATTTTCTATAAAAGCGTGTTTTGTTAGTTTTATTAAACTATTATTTATTTTTCATTTTTTTAGTTGAATTTCAAATTTTTCAATTTTTTTTTTATATTTAATTGTCATCGGTACTTAATAAGTATACCAAATTTCGAGTTAATCCGACGTTTTGAAGGGGGTCAAAATCATGTTCAAAGATTACTTTACATACATACGTCCGAAGCTAATAAAAGCTTAGTAATATGTGTATTCACATTTTAAAACAAAATAGATCAGTTAATTTAGTTTGGTTCAAATGTATGGATTTCAACAAAAATATTGAAAAGACACAGGACCTGGAAGTGTATGCATGATGCAGTCGCGTTGGCTCCGCTCCAGCCCCACTGAACTTTGACAAAGAAACTGATTGCTGTAACGCATTCGTATCGAATAGAACGTTTGAAGCAAGATTATTCGTGTCGTGTATTCTAAGATATTCGCGAGTCGTAAACATAATTTCAAACACTATTACGGTTTGATCTCTAAATCTTGTGTTTATTTTACACGTTTTACAATAAAATCCTTAGTGTGTTATATTATATCGGTAGTGAATCTATTCTCTACCATTAAATAATTTAGGGTTTTTCTGGCTACGAACGTTGACACAAAATCAACGAACACTTTGATATTCTTAAACTTATAATATTGAACTTGAGACCGGCAAAACGCGTATCATCGACGTAAAAAAACGATAGGTAATCGAAGAGGCGAAGGTAAAGTACCGCCTTTTCTTTTATTTATATTATAATTTCCGACATTTTGCAAGCTTTATTGTAGGGTTTTTTTTCTATACTAATATTTATAAAAAAAAATACTTCGTTTGAAGTAATTAGGTCGGATTCTTTAATTATTAAAAATATATGAAGAAAGACTATGTCAATCTGAAGTCACTGCTGACAGCGGCCATAGCTATTGGGTATCGTAGAGGGTGTCACAGATCACGTCCGCCTAGACACCGCGGCGCAACATTTCCGTCATTCCACAAAGCTCTCAATCATTTCGATCTGTGTCGTGCGTCAATTAACATTGATACACATCCCGCTGCTAAAGCGAAACGAATCGAACTGGTCTCCGAAGAAGCTGACCGCTACTCAGAAACGAAATAAAACAACAACGAAATATATAATTAAATTCAAACTCATTACATTTCAACGAGTAACAACTCGCATTTGTATCGATCGATCACTATAAAAAATGTGTATTTCAATTTTATTGTTCGACGCTAAAATTAAAAGGCGCATTGGTGCCCTTGCAGATTAGCATGGGCATCAGTGATTGACAGTGATCATTTTAATCAGCTGAACCACATTCTCGTCTGTTAATTAAGGCGGAAAAATAATAATTAAAACGATTTCCATAGTATGTCCAAAATAATCTATATATATAAAAATGAATTGCTGTTCGTTAGCCTCGCTAAAACTCGAGAACGGCTGGACCGATTTGGCTAATTTTGGTCTTGAATTATTTGTGGAATTCCAGAGAAGGTTTAAAAGGTAAATAAATATGAAAATGCTCGAAATTAAATAAAAATAACAATTTTGTTTTTCATTTGATGTGCCCCCTTGTCGGACGCATTTCTTTTGTTTGTTTTAAGTTTATTTTATACAAAAGTTTGGGTCTTTTATTTATCGATTGAGGCACTACGAAGTCTGCCGGGTCAGCTAGTTAACTGATATATTTCTTTAATAATATTTACTTTGACTGAATTAAAAACTGCAATAATATACAAATTTTGTAAACACAATGTCAGTGATTACGAACTTTTCAATCATCGGTTCATCACACATCCACATTAGTATGTATTGTGCTTTTGATTTCGTAAATGTGTTTTCCGTCACGTTATGTCAAAATCTATTATTCACATTCAGCATTCCATAATGCGTTACAAGCGTTTTAAGCGACGTGAATCGGACACGTCGGTGTCGACTCCTCCTAGCGCGTGTTCATGACACTTCTCGAAACAGATACAATCAAAGTCTGACGTTATAATAACAACATTACGTAAGCATATGAAACAGACAGAGGGCTGATGACAGGTTGACCCCAAAAATGCGTGGGCGTGTCTAGACAATGATAATCCACATAGGGGGTCCACGAACTGTGTCGGAATGCAAATAAACAGGACGAGACACCTGCCACCGATCGGCGTGATACAAAGCACGTCAATGACCAACTATTGAACTGCAAATACGTTCTTCAATCAGTATACATACACGTGCCATATGTTTTCCACGTCTTCTTTTATTTGCTAACATAAATTAGATATTTTTTTTTAAAAAGGAATTCATTGAAACGAACACCCAAGACGTAAAACGAACACGACTCATCTAATCGATTTCCGCATAATTTCAGTGGGCTGAATAAACAATCCCGAAGGAATCGCCTTAGAGCTGTCTCTTGCTTATAAAGTACCGCTTTATTGATACCGTTGACCCTGTGGCCACGCGCGCGTCGCGGGACTAATGTATACCATTTTGAAAAACTGCCATAAACATTGAACATTTATAAAGAGGTGTTAAGCTGGAATTTATGAAACATAATTTACGAGAAGCTTACTGAGATACTGTTAATAAAAATGAGCGATATGTCTTTATGCAAAACTGTGTTCAAACGATATTTTGTCAAATTCCAGACAGGGCGATGTTAAGTGTGGCTGGGGCGGTGCTGGCGTGCCTTTGTTTGGCGCGCACCTCACCGGCCGAGCCTTACAATCTTCGTGTCTACTCACCAAATACACACAGCTCTACGGTTCGTTAATAACATATGAATAAATTAAAACCATAATTGAATCAGTACAGAATAAACGATTTTTATTTGCAGGATACAAATAGCATTCTGGCCAGCATTGAAGAGCGGTTGCGTGTTCTAGAAACAGTTAGCGCGGTACAAGCCAAACAAACTCGCCGCCTGGACGCGATTCAGGATAAATTAGGTTAGTGACTTTTAGTTTAGGGCTCCAGAATAAGAAAAATAACTATCATTCACGCACATATCATTTAGTTTGCCAATTTTAGCTTATGAACCCTTATGTTTGAGTCAATTTATGTTGACGTTATGTTATCCTGATGTCGAAAATAATACGCCATGCGTCTAGATTTCACGTTCTCATGTCTGTATTTCGGTGACCACTGAATGCAAGTAGAAGAGGTCGTGCTGTCCATCTATGCTATTAAAAAATATCTACACATTCTTGTGCGAATAGATCACGGTATCCACAACGATTTGTCCGAAGCAATTGAGATTATCATAAACGATCCCGTTGTTACTAAAAAAACTATCCTATAGTTCTCTAATAAATAAAAACTAGTATTCACACCTTCATATATTGTCTTATTCCACTATAAAGTAACGAAAAAGAGAAGATCTTCTGCCGATTGGGTGATTTTGCTCGGTAGACCGACGATCCGAATTCAGAACTTATATTTATGCAAATTTATCTTTAGAACGTCGTTAGCGCGATTCAGACTTCTGTCACCTATCTTCTTATCTATGATAGCACTAAATCTATATTTTTACTTATACCTAACAAACAAATGATTTATGTACGTCAGGCAAACATATTTTTACGAGAATCGATCGATTGTAATCCAGATTCTGAAATAACTAGTAAGATAAGCTGATCACAAAGAGCATAGAGACAAACATTAATTTCAAAAATGCTAAATGATTGAAGACGATGGACTTAGTATAAACTAGCGTGGTCAAAAGCGCTAATAGTCGCGTTAGACAAAGCAGTAACGCATGCGGGTACACAATCATCGAAGCATCCAGGAAGCCTGACTCATTTTAAACGATCTTATTGTGTCATATCCTATTTTAGAAAAGCTGGGTCAACTTTCGCAATAAACTAATTTCCCATATCCTCAATAATTAATGAAGCATTTTCGGTGATCATTAAATTTCAACAAACGATGAGACTATCTTACGCTAATTTTAAACTATGCTATCATGCAAAAAAAAGGGTACGTGTACTTATTGTACGCGCGTAAGAGGTTATACATTTAAGTTATATTTTTATTAAATTTATTTCTTTTTTTTATTTATTTAGATTTTAATCAATTTGAAAAAAAATCGATTAAACAACATCCTCAAACACGCATATTGGACATCCCTTTTCTTGACATCGTGTAAATTCGGTAATTTACGGTACGGTTCGGAAAGTTCATCTGCGACTATATTCAGACTCGCCAAGTTACGTCGGTCGTATTGTAATGAGCGATTTAGTGGGCAACTTCATTCTGTTAATTTTGTGTCACGGTGCGCGTGCATCGTAAAATTTCACTCTCATCAAGTTTTCATAACGCGCCTAAAGAAGTATAACTTCAAAAAAGGTGCTCTGTTATTGTCTTCTACTTAATAGACAATATATAAGGCTAAGCTGACGCTAAAAAAAATTGTTTACTTATAGTACAATGAATAAACAAATCTACAATCTGTACATTTAACTACATATTAGAAATTACACGTGTTGCTTAACTAAAACCACCAACAGTGTTCTGTATAAGAAATGACGGCGGAATCGCTGTGGCGACTTCAGGTAATTAATTTTAAAAGTATATGTTGTGCTCTTCTATTGTAAAGCATTTTGAAATTACAGATCGTGTCGAGACTACTCTGTCTTTGAAATTAGAAAGAGTACAACTAGCAGCGGAGAGATTGGAACATAGACTTCACATGTTTCAAGTCAATATACAGGTCTGTATAAGTTAAGAGTAGTACGAAATCGAATAATTTGGAGAACAAGTACTAAATTTAATTTTCTACAATAATTTCAGACTACAGTCAAAGAAAACACGCAGAAATTAGAACGAAGTCAAACAAATTTAGTGGCACAACTCGCTCAGAACCTGACGAGCCACATTGACACGCACAAACATTTATTGGAGAAGGTAAAACATCAATGCGATCAAAGAGTATTTAAGCACGATTTTATATATTGATTTTTAGATCATCATCATTTAGATATCAAACCCGCAAAATTATAATTTGCGTAATTACTGGTGGTAGGACCTCTTGCGAGTCCGCGCGGTTAGGTACCACCGCCTTACCTATTTCTGCCGTGAAGCAGTAATGCGTTTCGATCTGAAGGGTGGGGCAGGCCGTCGTAACTATACTGAGATCTTAGAGCTTATATCTCAAGGTGGGTGGCGCATTTACGTTGTAGATGTCTATGGGCTCCAATAACCACTTAACACTGGTTGTCGTCCACCCATCTAAGCAATAAAAAATTTAAAAAAATTACATTGATTTTTAGATATACTGGGTGTTAGGAGACCGCTTCCGATAACGAAGACAGGCGATAGTACTAATGACAGCTTTGATGATGGAGTTATTTAGACAAATGTTGTAAATAAGTAATAGTGAGACCGCGCGAGTCTGCGCCGCGCCGCGTCCGTGCATTCGTTGATCCGAGCATCAGCTGTTTTTGATTTTGTTTCATTGCTGGGTTTTTTTTTTGGTCAAGTAATGTATATTTTATGAAACTATCTTTTCATTTAGCAGTACTAACATGATAAAGCGTAAATAATGCAAATAAAACTTTTAAAAATATGATTTTTATTAAATCAGGATCGATTTTTTTCCATCCCATTATCAAAGGTGTCATTACTACTATCGTCTGTCTTTGTTTACGGCAGCGGTCTCCTAACGCCCAGTTTAATGACACATTCCGATTTTCCATACTATGAGACTCAATTTAGAAGCACGCATGTCACTCCCAGTATCATATTTGTACATATTTTAATTTTTAGGCTAACGGTGCTTACGCAGAGACTTGGCACAGAGGTCTTGTGTTAGAATCTTTAATGCGCGACGGACTGTCACTAGTGAATGTTACTAGAAGGGAATTAGCTGATGGACTACGAACTTTGGCGAGGAGGCAACGAGACGCGAGGCTCACCTCAGCTGACATTGAAGCGAACTTCGCCCGAAGGATCAATGAAAACACTTATAAAATCGATCTAAAGGTAGTTTTCCGTGAAAACAATACATTGGTTTTTCAACAAGTGTGCATATTTACGAATATTTCCAGATGAAGGAAGTTTTAGAAATCCAAAAGCGTTTCATGAATTCCTGTGAGAGAATACAACTCGATGGACCGACCCAAGTAGCAGATGTGCTGGATAAATTAATAGATTCACTCATCAACAAGTGAGGCAGTTTTTTATTTATTCGCCAAATTAATTTTGACAAAAACGTAAATAATCTGATAATTGTAATTGCAGGACTGCAGCAACATTCCACGAATTACAGAATATTCAAGTGACGTTGCGCAATCATGACAATAGGGTAATGAAACTGCTTGGTACAATGCGAGTACCACAGGTATGATACATCAAGCTAGATACTTCGAAGTTACAATTATTTTTAATTCCAAATAAATATTAGAGTTTAACCCGAATAAAAGAACTAAGCTTGGGACAGTATCAGCTGTAAAGTGAAACACCATTAGTTTAATTGGCACTATCTCGACGAAATTAGTTAAAGTTTTCAAATGGGAAATTTGATCTAGATTTAAGTTCAAAAAATCACATACATGAAAGGTTTTCAATATTAAAATTTGGTCAAATGATTTCTTTATCCTGTAGAACGATCCAGCGTGTCGAAGATTAGAAACAGCTTTCCGTAATACATCTCACACGGTCCTTAGAGAGAACGAATTGAAACAATTGACGGAAAAGTTCGTAGCGTTGACGGATCGGGCCGACGCAGCTCTGCAAAGGCTTGAAGCACAGCTATCGGACAGCTTAGACGAACCGGTGCCGTCCTCCGAAGTCACAGCTGAAGCTGACAGACTTCTACTTAAATTGAAGGGATTAAGGTAAATTCTAATTTACAATATAAATATTATATATTAAACCAATTTTAGGAAAATTTACTTTTAAAAGAAGGTCTCTTGTAAACGCACTAATCTCATTATCCTAAAATCATATTTTAAATAAATGGGAAATGGTATAAATATTTGTTTAAATACATTTTTTCAAACGTCTTCAGAGACGGCGATTCAAGCGAATTCGATTGGGAGGATGATGCTGGTTACTTCGACGACGGCGGTGGAGGCGACATCATGGAAGAGGACAAGCTCGTCCTCAGTAAGGCATCAAACACGAAAAAGAGGGCAACGGAAAGCGCTTCAGTGCGCCACCTACATCGGAGACATCTTCACAAACATCCATTTGATCGTGGCCCCAACTCGAAGGATCCTTCTTTAACATAAAACCAAGCTTGCAATATAACTTTACAACGACAAGATATTGCTGTTTTATTCAAAAATCTGAGACCAGTTATAAATTATTTACAACAGGTAATAAGTTACCGAGTATTAATGCCATGTTTTATCGTACATTTATTTTCATGATGTCGATAAAGTATGTTGAAACTCTGCAGAGGTTAAATATTAAAGTTTAAAATATGCAATCGTCGTTTCACGTGGTGGTGANATATAACTTTACAACGACAAGATATTGCTGTTTTATTCAAAAATCTGAGACCAGTTATAAATTATTTACAACAGGTAATAAGTTACCGAGTATTAATGCCATGTTTTATCGTACATTTATTTTCATGATGTCGATAAAGTATGTTGAAACTCTGCAGAGGTTAAATATTAAAGTTTAAAATATGCAATCGTCGTTTCACGTGGTGGTGAATTTATATTAAAATTAAACTGCATGGCGCTAGAATCGTGGTCTTTATTTTTGAACAAAAACATTTTAAAATATGACACTCTAAAAGTTGACAGTCAATTGTTTTTAAAATCAGTATTTGAGTTCCAATTCCGAAACGGTATTAGGTATCAACAGTTCCTCAGTGAATAAGAAATATCCAATTAATTAGCAATCTCAAATTAGGAATGCTGTTATTCGATTTAGTTTGCTGTATTGGTGTCGAAGACGGGCGAGCAAGCAACTTCTTAGCTTCATATATAAAGCACAATTTTTTCCCGTACCTAATCTTTGGTAGCCATATTCCAACCACGCGCGGACTGATAGGTAAGCTCACGGGGCTCATCGTGGGAAGACTCGCTAACACTAAACTGATGTTCATGGTATGAATTATTTACCAAACTCATTTAATTAATGCTTTCCACGATGAAAAAATATCCGCACGGTGTTATTTCTTTATTAGTAAAAATGAAACCCGAAAAAAAATTTATTTGCGTAATAGCTATAGAATTGAGAGATAGATCTCAAGACTCAAGGTGGGTGGCAGCATTCATGTCTACGCTTCGGTAACCACATAACACGAGGTTCAACCGTCTAAACAATAAAATAAGTGTAAATAAATTATACACCTGTTCTTTTAGATAATGTCTAAATCTGGTAATGTTCTACTTTTCATCCTTAGTACTTTTACAGCCAAATGTCCCATGTAACTTTAAAAACATTACAACCCAACATCTCAATCTCGTAGCATTCACAGTATACAAGTAGCTATCTCTTTATTATCCGTTTTGAAGACGTCGTGGCCTGCGGTATAAGACGTCCGGTGTATTCATATCTATGCTTACTTAACAAATGTTCATGAATTACTTCCACGGTGAAAGAATAACATCGTGTAATAAAACTCAAACCCGCAAAATTTATAGTTTACGTAATTACCTAGACGCCCTACCACCAGGTAGGGCGTCTTGTGAGCTCACACGGATAGATAGCACCAACCTACCTACCACCCTGCCTATTTCTGCAGTGAAGCAGTAATGCCTTTCAGTTTGAAAGATGGGGCAGCTGAGGTGCTGAAAAACTGAGACTCACAAAAACACATGTCTCAAGGTGGTTAGCGGCATTAACGTGGTCGGTGTCTATGGGCTCTGGTGGCAACTTAACACCAGGTGGGCCGTGAGCTCGTCCACCCTTCTTAGCAATAAAAAAGCTACTAAGCTGGCATTATAATCCTCAAGAGTGCATACCTGGCACATTTCATTGAGAAACTTCAGATCCCTCATTGCTCCTAAGTTTATTAAAATGTAGCCTATTTTGCTACTCAGCGTGCACATACCTCTAATTTTGCACTATTCTGGAAAATAGTCAGTGCCTTATGTGTAAGTTGTGCGAAACATGAGCTGAGTGTGGCTATCTTCTGCCGAGCTCCAAATACGACTTCTGGCTCTTCTGCTTCCAACTCTACTGCAAATATGAGAAACATAAATTTGAATTGATTTCTTTTTTCGTATGATGTAAAGCAATGTTGCACTTTCTTCGGATTTCGCAAATCATAGCAGTAACTAATTTTACAAGTTAATCTCACATTTATTGTATTAATTTGCTATTTCTTATACACATTTAAAATTTTTGAACTTATGAAATTATGCAATTAATGAATTTCATACATTAAAAGTATGTAGTTTTAATTATGTAAGGGAATATTTCCTAGAACATGCTCATGACCCACCAGGTGTCAAGAGGCTACTTAGCCCATAGAAACTAACAATGGAAATACCGCCATCCTCTTTAAGACATGAGTTCCAAGTCTTAGCTTTACAGTGTAATGGCTACACTGCCCTTAAAACTAAAACAGATTACTGTTTCACTGCAAAAATAGGCAGCAGTGGCAGCTGTGCAGCTCACAAGATGCCTTACCACCAGTTTTTTTTTATTATTTAAATGGGTGGATGAGCTTACAGCCCACCAGATTTTAAGTGGTTACTGGAGCCCACAGACATTTACAACGTAAATGCGCCACACACCTTGAGATATAAGTTCTAAGGTCTCAGTATAGTTACAATGGCTGCCACACCCTTCAAACCGAAATGCATTACTGCTTCACAGCAGGAACAGGCAGGGTGGTGATACCTACCCCTGCGGACTCACAAGGTCCTACCACCAGTAATTACGCAAATTATAATTTTGCAGGTTTGATTTTACAGTAATTAATTTCTGATGTTTCAGTTACTTTACGATTTTCGTAGTCACAAACGACTGTAGAAGAAAATGCTGGATATGGAGAAGTTAAAGCTTACAAAACAAAAAACTGTGGATAGTTATAGCAGACAGTCAAATGCCAATTTATAGGCTATGGGTTGGTATGGGTTGATGGCATTTGCAATAGAAAAGTCTCAATTAAATCTGCTCGAGCGCCACTTTTTATGTATTAATGGTACTAGAAGAAAAACTTTCTCGGCAGTGCCAACTAATAGCAAAGTTTCAGCATATTCAGACAAGTGGAATAGTAATAAAGTACATACAGACAAGCATACAATAAAAAATTCTTTTTTTTTGTTTGATATCAGAAGCTACCAAAACATTCAAACGTCTATATAATATAGTATCACAATTTTTTAAGACACCTTTATAAAATGTTATAGTTTTCAAGAGTTGTAACTTTAAATTTATTTCAAATTATGTACAATTTTGTGTCAATAACTAGACGCAGGTCTCAGCTGATTTTACAAAGATAGCTAGCTACTGTGTTGTCATTAGGTATGCTTTTTTATAAACATAACTTGTCAATATTGCTGAATTTTTATTTTGTTGTCCGATAACTTTAAAATAAGTATTAGGAGGCTGATATTTTTTTAAATACATGTAGGCTCTTTATTCAAAATTGATTAAAAAAGCTGGAATATCGGTTTATTTCATTATGATTAAATGAAAAACAAAGAATACCTCGTTCTGAATTGACGGTCCTATAAAATATTTGGGGTAAAACATCAGAAGTTTACTGTCAAATATGAATTCTTAAAATGCGTATAAGTTGTACTCACCCAAAGAAGTGTCCAATTCGACACACGCTTTATCAAATTCCTTTTCTAAAATATCTAACCACCGAAAACCTACTCCGGTGGTCGCCATTTTTACGGTAATGTTTTGACTTTTGACTTTGACATACAATGTATGACTGTGACAGTAGATTTTTTATGGCCAACAACTCCAAGGCCTTAAATTATTTATTTTAAAAACCACACAAACAGACACTCAATGTTTACGTAATATGAAATGGTACTAAAAATTTTACGCATTTCGGCTTAAATACTTAACAAATTATTAAATAAATACTTCAATTAAATACTTAATGCAAAAAACCTTAATGAGTCATGAAGTTCTTATTTGACGCATTAGGTACGAAGGTATTTGTCGATGTCGATCAAGCTCAAAATTTCAGTTTTACTGGGAGTCTTGGCACACAAAAGATACACCGCGGTCACATCAATCGTTTTTTTTTCTTTTTCGTTCGGTCTATAACAACCATGGAGTTAATAAGTACAATACTAACTCTATGATAACCCCCCAGTCTTGTTGCCACTATTTCGATTTTTTTTTTATTGCTTTGATGTGTACGAGCTCACAGCCCACCTGGTCTTAAGTGGTTACTGGAGCCCATAGACATCTACAACGTAAATGCGCCACACACCTTGAGATATATGTTCTAAGGTCTCAGTATAGCTACAACGGCTGCCCCACCTTTCAAACCGAAACGCATTACTGCGTCACGGCAGAAATAGGCGAGGCGGTGGTACCTATCCGTGCCGACTCACAAGAGGCCCTACCACCAGTAATTACGCATTTTTATTACACGATGTTATTCCTTCACCGTGGAAGTCAATCGTGAACATTCGTTAAGTACGTATTTCATTAGAAAAATTGGTACCCGCCTGCGGGATTCGAACACCGTTGCATCGCTATATAATATACGAATGCACCGGACGTCTTATCCTTTAGGCCACGACGACTTCAGACTTCAGTGTAATGTGCCCAACAAAAATGTTTTGAGAATAAATGTGTGAGAGAAATTGTCGGTCCTGCGGGGCCCCCTGAGACTGGGGGCCCTGGGCACGGGCCCCGTGTGCCCTTATGGTAAAGACGGTATTGACGGCTACCCCACCCTTCAAGCCGAAACGCATTACTGCTTCACGGCAGAAATTGGCAGGGTGGTGGTACCTACCCAACTTTACAACTTATTAATCTATAAAAGGGTGGTACCTGTTCGAAAATGTCTGCCAATCGGAAATTTGTTTGGAGATCGACGTATCACACGTGGACATACATGCCGATGTTATTTTTTACAATGCAAGCACACATTCCGCTGTTGTATTTTGAAATGTATTAAAAAATCTATCTAACGCATAACAACGTAGCTTAGCATGAATACCTAAATATAAAGCTGAAGAAAAAAGACAATGCGAGTAGAAAGCTTTTCATAATTGAAGGAAAACGGTAATTAATACAAAGCTATCGATTTAACTTTAACGTGATCAGTGGAAATCAATCAATCGCAGACCGGAGGAAAATTACTTTTTCATCACTTCTTGGTTGACGTTTTTGATTAGTTTTTTTTAAATTTTGAAATTGATTTGAAAGGATCATTTGGTTCACGGTTATTTTTTTATCTACATAAAAGACATGAGCATTCCTAGGAAACCACGTCCGCGTGTTTCTTTAAATAGAATTTCAATTATATGATTCGGCAAACATTTTCTAAGAAATCCGAGGTAAAGCGTATCAAAGAATCGCTTTTGAATTCGAGATTTTTATACATACATATTAAGTATGTTTGTATGTACATATGTGTATATATATGCTGGTTAAGTTCCATCGTGCGTCGATAATGGTAGTTTTCCAATTACAGCACAAGAGCGCATTATGCGGCATAATGCTCAACGTTGAATGTTCCAATTACAGCAACGCTTCGCACAATCGAGCACTCTCAAAAGTACTGCTCTCGCGTGATGCGTGCAATCGATACCGACTGTGACAAAAAATTGACAAGTGTTTTTTCTTTAAGTTGGCATTGATCGAAATTTTGTTTATATTATCGTTAGTAATATTATTTAATGTTGAAAAAAATTGTAAGGCTTTCGTTTCTTCGTAGTTTCTTAGAAATAATCAATGTTAATTAAAACTGTGCTAACTTAGCGCACTCTGCTGATGCATTTTAAAACTAATTCACGTTCCAATTAAGCTTGGCTTAAGCATTATGCTCTGTAATTGGAAAACTACCAAGTACTCGTTCTCTACATGTTGTAGCCCCGTGAACTGTCATAAACTTGACAGAATACCACTGAAGTAGGAAACCTATGCTATATAGGTCTATGCAGAATACAGATAGTACACTCTCTTCAAATCTGTCAAAACTGGCATTGTTCTATTAATATTAAAAACGCGCGTAAGTACCACCAGCCTGGCTATTTTTGCCGCGAAGCTGTCCTGCGTGCCGGTTTTAAGACTTGGTCAGCCCTTACACTGCACAACTGAGACTTAGACGTGCCCACTAAGTTTCTCGCCGGATCTTCTCAGTGGGTCGCGTTTCCGATCCGGTGGTAGAATCTGCGAAGCACTGCTCTTGCTAGGGCCAGTGTTAGCTGGTTTGAGCCTCAAGAGCTCACCTCCACGTTAGGGTAACGCTGATATCGCCTCAATAGCTCTCAATAACCTCGCTATCAGCATAGGTAGGGGGAAAAAACATAGACATCGGTCTGAAAGTGCCCCCATATACTTTAAGACACGATGTCTACGTTTTTTTGACACTCATGATGTCCTTTGGTATCGGTACCCATTTAATCCCAGGTGGGCTATTAAGCTTGTCCACCCATCTATGAAATACATAAAAAATCGTGCAATATACGACCGAGTGTCTTTTAGGTTGGCTTCTAAATGTATCTTCATTTGTTCAATTCAGTGTCAACATTATTTAAACAAAATATTTTTGGTGTTTTAATCCTGTAAAGTGGAGACAACTTGTGAGGGCCCTATGTACCAGGGGGGTAGTCTAGGACTACAACAAGAACAACAATCCTGTAAATTCATGGATCTCGTTTTCTTATTTTGTCTTATTCTTAATATTTTAAAGGTAGGTACCTACATTACCACTACAAAATCATAATTTTTATTTTAATGAATATTCATTACTGCGCATAATTTAATCAAGCCATTCAAGCCATGACAAGTACAGGGATAAGGTTTGAAATTAATATACAATTTTCACTCCCGTTACCTTCGAAAGTGTTGCCGCATAATTTTAGCGAAATAACAATGTTGCTATTTTATTCATGTACATTTTACCCGTTTTGTAACAACGTTTTCTTTATTACTTTTGAAACCCAATATTATAAATAATATTCACTTAANACAACTGCATTCGTTTTTACACCTTTCTCACAAAAATGTACCTCTGTTAAGCCCCAATAAGAAACTCCCAACCATACCATGAGCGAGGATGGAAAATGACCTCGTTGGACACGCGGAATACGGTTGCTCGCTTCTTCACTACTGTGTGCGTACACCTTATCATTTTGTTTGTTGTAGCTCTCTTCTACGGTAAAAATTTGTTCATCCGAAAAAAAAAATTCCCGATATTTTTTTCCCGCGTACCGCTTCAACAAAGCGCGGCATCTCTTCAGTCTCAGGTCCATTAGACGAGCATTCAAACGATGTCCTGTTTTTCTTCGATATGCCCGAAGCCCTAAGTCTTCATTTAACACCCTTTTCACCGTGGTTCTGCTTAACCCCCTCTGAAGGGTCAACAGTTTCTGCTTACGTTTGGGATTTCTTTGAATTCACGCCTTCACAGCTTTTATCCGAGAGCCTTTTCCTTTTAGACCGAGAGCGACCACTTCTTGACCTGTCATCTACACTATAGTCTTCATTGTATCGTTTGATGGTACGATAAACGAATCTTTTGGTTATATTCACATTTTTTCAGTATGTTAAAAATTTGAATTGGCGCGTAACCGCAACGATGCAACGCAATAACTGCAACACGGTCTTCTTTAAGCGTCCACTCCATATTTAAAAATGAGTAAAATTCTAAAAGTATACATTTTTATTTTCGTGAACAATTCGAAATTCGAATTCAATAAACTTTTTTGTGGCCAGCATTCTAAAAGAAAAGTTTTTACTGTGTGACAATACTTATGACTTGACTAGGTATAAAGCACAATTTTTTCCCGTACCTAATCTTTGGTAGCCATATTCTAACCACGCGCGGACTGGTAGGTAAGATCACGGGGCTTTTCCTGGGAAGACATGCTAACACTAGCCCTAGCAAGAGCAGTGCTTCGCTGAATCTACCTCCAGATCGGAATCGCGACCCTCAATCGTCAGTTTCTTAAGAATGGAACTTTCAAGACATATTATTGGAGTGCAATTAATATATGGTCTGGGATTCTCACAGAATGTTAAGAGACAAAAATGATATATTAAGGTCATAAAAAAGACCCCGGAGTCATCCGGATTGCTTTTTTTTCAGTTTTGAAATAATCATATAGTCATCATGGGATAAAGCACGGAATAGATAAATAAGGTTGGAATGGTAATGTAGGCGGGGCAAGCGTGCCACTGTTATGATCGAACAAACATAACTCGACCGATTCTTTCATTCACCGCGTTTAGTGCGCTTCGGAATATTTGGGCGAACAGATCTCCGCTTTATAGTGCCGTGTTGTGCAATTATAAGTTGTAAAACAAAAAATCAGACCTCAAGTATAGAGCGAGGAGGTATATCTTTCGATCGGTAAGTCGAAATTACCATTTAATTACAATATTATTTGTCTAAAACATAAAAATATACTGAGCATTATGAAATTCCAAACATTAACAATATTATTGCAGCAAGTTATAAATAGCATACATTGCGCGATTGTACTCGCCCAATGAACGCAATGACCAAGTCAGCTTCCAATGTACTACATGCATTGCGTTCTCTACACTTCAATCTTTGAAATTTCGGCCTTTGCCCTGATTGGCCGTGGTGCACAGCGCTAGTTTGTCGATAGTGAGGTGACCATGTGGTGAAATAAAATCATCGACAGAATTCTCGACTATATTTACATTTGACATGGATAATTTNTTTAATCAAGCCATTCAAGCCATGACAAGTACAGGGATAAGGTTTGAAATTAATATACAATTTTCACTCCCGTTACCTTCGAAAGTGTTGCCGCATAATTTTAGCGAAATAACAATGTTGCTATTTTATTCATGTACATTTTACCCGTTTTGTAACAACGTTTTCTTTATTACTTTTGAAACCCAATATTATAAATAATATTCACTTAATAGTAAATCTTAAATTGCTAAACTTTAAATAAAACATAAGTATTTTTATCTGTACAATAAACGATAGAAATCAATTTACATTTACAAGCTTAAATCTAAATTACTTCCATACTTCTCCAAACTACTGCCATAAATCTTGGTCTTAATTTTAAGAAAATCAATACATTATCTGTTGTGTGTATCTTGAAAAGTTTTTTGGTACACAATAACTGACAACACATTAACAAGACGTGGTTTGATTCATATAAAATTACATATACATAAAAATAGGTAGTTATGGGAAAATATATTTTATTATTCTTATAAAACGTAAATCTTCTAAAGTAATTTTTAACATACTTTCAAATATCTAATCAGCTTACAAATAAAAAGGGTAACATATATTTTAGACTGTCGTCAGTCAGTCTCCTGGTTACTACGGTTTGTACAGTGTACAAAAATAATTTCTATTGCAGAACGATCATTAATAACCATTACCTCAACACGAATAGAAAAAACTATTCATTTGATAACCTAATAATTATATAGGCAGTTATAGTTTTACATTCAGATTTCGTGAACCACCAATCTAGAACAGAACCAGTTGGAGCCTAGGTTTAACTATGTCGAAGTCTAAAATTTTTTAATTTCGTTCGTATTGCAAATGCCAATTAGAACATAAATTAAATAAATTAAAAATTCCCTAATCCGGCTTGTAGTAAAAGTTAACTGATCGAAATAATCAAGAAAGATATTCGTTATGACCCTTATATGCGACTTTTTCATTCTTGTGAAGAATTTGTCTTTTTAAGATCTATTTCTCTACTAATCTAATTCTAGACTATAATTTTTAGATCTATTATTTTAAGGATAAGGATAAGGATTCTACAAAGAAGGCATGTCCATAAGCAAATCCCAAAATAATTTCAAAAATCGCAATGCTTAACATATCTTTTGCCTCCAATGTCGGGATTTTGTAGTTACTTAAAAAATTAATATTTTTTTACATTTATTTTGAGATGGCGGTATTTCTACACTTTCGTATTCTAAAAAAATCTTAGTTACTTAAATAGAGTAGAAAAGGGAAATTGTACACAAACAAGAATAACAGAAAAAAACGAACAATATTAAAATTGAAGAAATTACTTTAAGTTGACTAGCTATAAAAGGTATGTAATTATAACACAAATTTTATTAAATATCATTCAACTTTGAAGTTAACTATTTTCACTGCATGTATTACGAATACGATTCAACAAACTTTCGAAGGACCGATATAATTTATAAACTATACAAAGGTAATAATCACACGGTCCACATGGCGCTGTTATGATCAAAACAAAAAACAAAAATGTGGATACTGCTGCCCTTTTCGCTGACATGAAGCTTCTATGGTATTAAAAGGAATTTTTCTACGTTTCAATCTCAAGAAATAATTAGAAATAAAGAAAGAAGTTTAATTATAATTCTGACAAGATAACATAACCGTGGATAACAAAAATGTCTGTAGGCTCCGCTAAGCACTTGGCACACGTGGACCTCAAGCTAAAGTTAAATATTTAAGCTAAAAATAGACTTAAAAAACCCGGCAGTGAATAAAAAACAGTCAATTATTCCCGAATACGTACTATATCTAATATTATACAAGAAAGATTAAGAACATTATGTTAATCAAATTTTCATTGCGATAGGCAGCGGTTTGCATGTGCCCCTTGCATTGCTGACGGTCATGTGCGACGGTAAACAAAACTAGACTAGAGGTTAACACCCCAAGAAAAATTCGTTTGAAAATCATTTTTTGTAAAAACGTATCTTTAACTGTTTAATTAGGCTAACTACATAATAAAAAATAAATTATTATATATTAACAAACTGTTGAGGAAAAGGAAAATTACTTAAAAACAAGTCTAAATCAAAACGTGAATAACCGTCACACACCTTAAGATATTTTTTTTTCTATGGAGTAAACAAAATTGAACATTAACTTCAATTTCAATAGAGGTACAAACTACAATCCTGTACGGACGCGGCACTTAGTGAGAACCCTATTCCCGGTGTTTATATATTCGTTAATAAATGCGCATCTAGATGCAACTGTACTGATACTATTTATTCATCTATGGACCACCTCTAAATATCATTAAGAGGTTCCCGGAACCGTTTAAGAAATCGCGAGAATGCTGCCGTCCAGATTATAACATCAGGTTCACGTCAAAATTATAATGTATAACAGTTTTCTAATTCTTTAAGCCGAAAGAAATTACATACTGCTTTCCAGAAGAAATTGATGGGGTTGCTATGACACATGCTTCAAATGAGCTGCGAAAAATGCGCGGCAAGCGACGGCTTGGCCGTGCCTTCGTGATTGACATCGACTATGGCGTGAAACTGAGCATTCCCTAATGTTAATTTAGGTGTTCCACAATTTTAGAAATACTATTGAATTTTCAGTTGCGGCTATTATTAATCTCCCATTGAATCCCGTTTACCGTCAAAATAATTACTACTATGCTATATTATTTAAAGTTATAGTAATATGATGAAGTGGCTTTGAAAGATACATTCAGTGCCGATTTTGAAACGTAGCCGCATAAAAACGTAGGTATTGCCACCTTAGCAGAGTTCTCTAATAGACACCCATTAATACATTAGATGCTCTAGAATAGATACCAAGATATCACTAGAATCCAATTGCTTAATCACTAGAATCCAATTGCTTAATCACTAGAATCGGTATGCTGTAGGCCAGTGTACGTGACGTCACGGTACGAATTATAAGCCATAGTAAGAAGCAGTCATCCTCGTTACAAAATTCAATAAATATAATTATTCTCGGATCTGTGATACCGCATTATAAATTCCGCTTTGGTTACAAACTTGCATGTAACATGATTTTTATTCTCCCTTATTAAAATTCGGTTGCGTCACAAATATTCAAAAGCACTATGGATTAAATTATGAGGTAAAATATTTTCAATCAAATGCAAACATACTTATTCGTAGAAATATGTCACTGAAACTATAATGTATAAATCAAAATATATATTTAGTATATTTAAAAACTGTATCAATATTGTACTGATGAATAGTAACTTACAGTTCAAAGCTCCATTTGTCACAGCACAACTGTGTCTCGTATATTTGCTAGTTAGTTAATCGATAGTTGCTAGGTATAAATAAAACAACTCGAATTAAAAATTAGTTATGAGTCTCATTTTATAACATTAGCATTAATTTATTTTAAAAATAACATTTTATAAACTGTACAAAAGGTGCATTGCTAGCATATGATGCGTTTGAGTGTGTAATCTGAAAAAAGCTCATCCAACACCCAAGTTTTGTAGGGGTATTATTGATAACAGGGTTTACAATTCCAATCATATTAATTGATAGTTTCTATCATCGACAAAGCAAAGTCAATATAAGCATCATACCTTTTTATTTGTGATAGTAAGTTTTTGTGTTCAAAAATAATTAATGCAATAGTGTCATCGATCAAATCAACTTTTTATTTACACTAATTTACACTATTTCAGAATTCATGATAAAATTTTCAGAGCGAACATGAATCGCTGTTTGCGAGTAGTTAATGATCATCGTTCGGAGGTGGCGAAAATCTGCTAATTTACTACATTATAGTCCCCGGCACGTAACTTGGCAAGAGTCGTTAGATGCGCAGAAGTCGTTTTTTAGGTCTCTTTGGTTGTCAAGCGGGACGCGGGGAAAGACGTAGCACCGTTTCGAGCGCGCGATTGGTGAGTCAGTCGACTCTCCCCTCCCGCACCGCGTCCACCTTCCGTTCGCTCCTGGTTACACATACGCCTACTAGTTGTCTAAGCATAGGTACAGGCTTAAAAATAAATTACGGCAAATAAAAAAATTTATAAAATTAAATTATATGCGGGCAATAAAAGTGAAATTTTTTTTGTTGCAATGTGCACTATGCGCGAGATTACCCCCACTACACCAAAACCTTGCCAACTTACGTGCCGCTTACTATAACAAAACTATATTAATTTGGTAAGTTATATTTAGAATAATTATTCGTAAATCGCCATCTAAATGAAATGTATTCCACGAAAGACTGGAATAATCATCCCGTCTTCGTCTTCGAGAACTTTTCCCAAACGCTCAGTATTGCACTAATTTTTAGACATAAAATTTGCCTACATATTTACAAACAATAACCATTTTTAAAAGCCGCTTCACTGTTACTGTCATTAAATAAGAAAAAAGCTCGTATGTTACATATCGACTATTGTACGCGTATAATAAAGTCAACCATTAAACTCAAAAAGCATTGAGCAAGCAAGTGTGTGTGTGTGTTTTTTTTTAAATAGGTAACTATAGACCAATATAAAAGCATATTTTAAATATTTTTAAGCATTTACTGTTGTTTTATAATTTATCGTAAATGTAATAACTTTTCAAGTTTATGGTGTCATCGGACTTCATTTGAAGACAAAAAGGTCTAAAAGTATTTAATTTTAAAATTTGGTAATTACCTACAGATTATTTTCCATTAAAATTGGTTTTCTGTAATGAGCTAGTCTATTCCTCAAACACGATCAAAGAAAATAAAAAAAAAAGTCAATACCCAATGAATATTGATGCCTCAATACATAAAAAACAAATCAACAAAAAAAAATATTGTGTTTAAAATATTATTTATAACATTGATTGTTGAGAATACACTGCGTCACAATTAATAGACACTCCGTCCCTTATTTTTAAAAGTCGACTTCATTCTCGTTATTTTCCTTTCTTTTCCTAAGTTTTATTAAAACTTAAATAATAGGTAAATGTCATCATGATATGTTAATATTTACAAATAATAACATTATAGTCAGTGACATATTCGTTTGGACCTTAAAAAATAAATTACAACAGCCGCGCGCATAATAGAACTAAATCACTTCAGCTTAAGTAAAAGCATGGTTCACCATGAAGCCGCTTCATTAGGATATTGCACATGCATTCTTGTCAGGTATATGACCATCTGATCTTTCAATCTCTGATAGTATTGCATGGAACATATCTGTTACAGACTGGAAATAAGATACATTAACTATTAGGAACATTTCGAAACTCAAAAAATACAGTGGTATTTTACAACTTTGCTTTTTACCTGTTTGAATATTAGACTAGTCCCAAATCATTTTTTTTAGTTCCAAATATGATTTTTATATGTTTTAATAATGGAACTACACATTATCTTTCCTATTTTAGATTTTTTTATCTTCTTAAAAGATCATGGGTGATACAAAAAATATAGTTTTTTTTACAATGTCGGTATTTAATTATAAGTATGAGAGAATATTTTTTTGTTAATTAAATTCTAATATAATAAATATGCACTTTTATTCAAAATGCACCAAATGTTTCATTATTGTCGTGAGATTTAATAAAATCCATTGATTGGATATGATTATAAGCATTTTTTTATTGCCCTTGTAGGCAGACGAGCATACGTCTCACCCGAAGGTGAGTGGTTACCGTCGCCCATGGACGTCAGCAATGCCAAGCGGCTACTTACCAAGCTTTGAATCATAAAGTTTTATTATCAGTCACATAATATTTTTAGTTACACCTAAAAACCAGTGAAGTGCATTTAAATTATTTAAACTTAAAATCTTTTCCTATTCAGTTGATTGTAAAAAATTAAGCTTCAAGAATAAAAATATTTAAAAAATGTTATTAATATTCTATGAGAGTAAAGTAAGAGTTCTTTTTTATTTCATAGATAGGTGAAGGAGCTCACAGCAGCAAGTGTGCAGCGTCCCTACTGGCATCTCAGAAGAAGAAATGGACAATTCCATCCCCTGAAGCACCATGTTTTTAAGTCGACCCGCAAAGACGTCAGGATCACCAGAGGAAAAGCAAAGCCGCCATGGGTAGTATGCATAGAATTCACGCAATTAATCCATCCCTATCTGCTGACTTATACTGCCAAGTTCGTCGACACCCGGTCGTCATTCGAGATTCAGACGAGAGAGCGGCATGACAGCACGGATAAAGCAGTGATCATACAATCCAAGTAGAGCGTCGACTTTCACACTATTTCCGGCGGGATCGGTGGTCACCAGAAGGTCCAGCAGAGGGCTCATGCCTCTCGATATCTGGGACACGGTTGGGCTGTCGACAGCTGGGAAAAGCCGTAGGCTAAGGCGAAATTGTTGGCAGCCCGACCCGGGAGGTCAGTGGTTCTGGACCCCAACCACTCTTGGTGGTGAGCGTTAAAGTCTCCAAGGGCCATTACTTCAACGGATGGGTACTGCTCAAGCACGCAGTCAGTCTCCTCTTGTACATGCTCAAACAGAATGGAACACGCATCACTGCTGTGGGACCTGCAGGCGTAGATTCGGGTACAACCCCGTGATCTACGCGCAACGACAAGACGGACAGGTCCCTTTGCTCGAGGTTCCGAAGAGGGCAACAACAGACATCATCCTGAACGACTACCCACACCCCGACTTTACTTAGAAAGTGATCCAATACGTAACCGGGGTATTCAAGGTACGAGGCATAATCCGGTGCAGATATCTGCGTCTCCGTCAGAAAAAATCCGTCACAAAAAATAGCGCAGGTGGAAGTCTCGGGATGGCAAGAAACTTAGTGGGTTGTGTCTATTAGATAGCAATTTGCAGGTGGAGCCTTCTTCGTGGTGCACGAGTTTGGCGAGGATGGTGACGAAAGCTTGAAGAGCCTAAAAGCACTGAGAGCTTATCCAGGGGACTCGACAAGGCATTTTTTTGCCGAAAACAGCTTTGGGTAATTGTGTCAATGTCGAATGTAGGCAGGGGCTTGTCTCTGCCCCTGGCATTACTGAAGTCCATGGGCGACGGTAACCACTCACCGTCAGGTGGACCGTACGCTTTACGTAGAAGGGCAAAAATTACAGCGGTCAGGATAATAGGGCTTCATAGGAGAGGACCTGTCGCTGTCGCGCGTCGTAGCTGCGATGCTCGGCAGCGAAGAGTCCTGGAAGGCGATGTTCGACTTCTGCGAGTCCACCATATCGCAGAAGGAGGTGGCGGAACGAGAGTGGGAGAGCTCTTCCCTTTCCGCATCAATCCGTCGTCGTCGAGCCGGAGGAGATAGTAAGAGCGTACGTTCAGCCTCTGTAAGTGGCGGCTTGCCACCGGTGAGGGTCAAGGGGTGACCTGAAGGGGTCGAGGCCACGCGACGCGCTACCAGCACTCTAGCGTGCTGCCGAGGAGATACAAAAGAGCAACCGGTTGGCGGTGTAACGCATCCCGAGCCAGCAAGCTGGTTCTGGTCCAGTGGGATATTCCGGGACACCAGCGGCACCGTCTGGGCGGCCTGACGGGCTGCCGTACCAAGACGGCCGACGCTTGAGAGTATTCGATTCGCCTTAAAGGCTCCGTCGGCCTGGCGTCCTTGGGGTGAGCTGCGACGTTTGGTTGCAGTGTTGACCGCCATAGTCCGGTAATAAAAAAAGGATGAGGGCTATTAAGTTGTGCTGCTTTATCAAAGTTGTGTGTTTGATGCTTCCTTTAGATAATTACATATCAGTTCTAAGTTTAAGTTGTCATGATGATCAACATTACTCACATAATGATTAAGCATTTATTAAACTGACCTCATTTCTTTTAGCACTTGTTTCAACAAATGCAGCTTTCCATTTTTCAGCTAATCTTTTACCTTCCTCTGTGCTTATCTTTCTTTCTAAATGAAGATCTGTTTTATTTCCAACTAAAACTATTGGGACACTAGAAAGAGAAAAAAGTAAAAAATTTATACTATTATGAAGCAGATGAAAGAGTCCTTTGATAATATCTTCATATCATGATGTACATGATTTTTTTGTTTAATGACAATAAACACATTGTTTAATATATATTTCATGTCTAAATGATGATCCGAAATAGGTGAAATTGAGTCTACTCGTTAGCATTTAGCCAAACTCATTAATACTAATGACATAATATTGATCTATGAAAAAATGTATTTTTTAAGACAACTATATAAAAGGATTTGGTTTTATAGTTCTGTCAATTTCAGGTGTTTCAGCAGTTTGATTCAATTTGATGCAGTTAAAATGATGTTATATGTCAACTCATTATTTTAAACTTTCAAATATCATTTAAATAGTTAACATACTTTCAAGAGTTTATCTATTTATGTCTTATCTTCATAAATTCCTTATTATTGCATAGAATCATAAGCCAAACCACTAAGTCACTAATTGGTTTAGTTACTGGACACAGCTTGGACAACTGAGGACCTGAATGTGGATGAATCTGCTGAATGGTTTTTTTTTTGACAAAAACATTAATTTACTTACTGAATTTTGCCAACCATGTCCAGTAATTTGTCGTAAATGATTTGGACTATTTGAAAACTTTTGCTTGATGTAATAGAGTAGACTAATACATAGCCATGAAAATCCATACTATATTGAAGTGGAAATATACTGTATTCATCCTGACCGGCTGTGTCTACTAGCTTAACTTCATATTCCGTCGAATTCAAACGAATGTACTTGGTGAATGCTAAAATAAAAAATAAAATAGGATAATATGTAATCATTTNGATTTGGACTATTTGAAAACTTTTGCTTGATGTAATAGAGTAGACTAATACATAGCCATGAAAATCCATACTATATTGAAGTGGAAATATACTGTATTCATCCTGACCGGCTGTGTCTACTAGCTTAACTTCATATTCCGTCGAATTCAAACGAATGTACTTGGTGAATGCTAAAATAAAAAATAAAATAGGATAATATATAATCATTTTATTAGACAAACATTTAAATGGTAGATTCAACATATTCGACTTACTGTTCTCTATTGTTGGGTCATAAGAATCAACAAATTGGCCTTCCACGAATTGTATTATTAAAGAAGATTTACCTAAAAAGATACTTTTTTAAAGTTTACATCGCACATTTAATAAATAACGCGCATTAGCACTGAAACGATTCCTTTACCCACTGAACGGTAACCCATCATAGCTATCTTTCTTTGTTTCGAAGGCATTTTTATTTAACAGTAACTATCCAGAGATTTTGTAAGGATAAATTGAACAAAGTATTATTAAAATTCTAAAATATCTTATTTTCCAATTATTTGAAACCCTTTTTGTTTTTTTGACAATTTTGGAATTTGACAAAATGCAGTTCAAACACTATGGTTTTTTTGTCTGTCCATTCTGAGAGGCAATGGGAATGTACTCCAATTTGATTTAATTAATATTGAAACTTGAATGGTTTAATATAAGTTTAATTTCATCGAGTACATTTGATTTCATTTTACCTTTCATGTAACGTGAAAGAAATGACTTCAGTCTTAGGTTGTAAGGTAGAAATTGAGCATCGAACATAACAAACGGACGAAAAAGGAAATATTTATTTTTACTTTAGTATTTCAATAAATTTAAGCCTGTGGTGGCTTATTAACGGTCCAACATCTATGTCTCTCAAATATATTAAGTGTATAATCTATGTCTATGTCAGTGCACAAGTAAGGGAAAATTATCACAATTGCAGGTTAAGGCTTCTCGGATTTTTTCAGAAAGTCCATCGAAACTCTTTTATTGAAGGAGAGATTATTTAATTTATTTCATAGGGTATATACGGCATTGTTATATTTCATTTTATTTCATTCTTTATTCAATTTCATTTCATTTCATTTTAGTTGTCATACTTTGAGTGAAACGTTTTTGCTGTAATTAATTCATGTAAAAGGCTATTTTCCATTGCCTGTTGACGAATCAAACAAAGAAATACTTGTCACAAATGTCAATTGTCAATATCAAAATTCATAAACAAAATTACGAATTTTTGAGTCACCATAATTTTTTGATACAAATAGATATTATCATCATATGTACCTATTTCTTCAAAAACACTTCCACTGTATGAAAATTTTACGCGCAAGTGGGTTGATGATCCGATTAAATTAATTAAAAAAGGAAGTGCCCAGTGCTAATTTACGATTTAGAAATGGCAAACATTCCTGATTGCCCCATGAGCCTGAAATCAATTCAGCATTATTTGAAGACTGCAGCAGAACACGACAACCGAGATGTGGTTGTAGCATATTGGTGTCGCCTTCACGCTTTACAAACCGGCCTGAAAATAACTACCAAGAAAACCCCTGAAGAAACCAAAGTTTTAATGGGTAAGTTGTACTTAAGATTTTATTGATTTTAAGTTTTCTTTTTCTGTGACAATGAAATTTGCATTATTTGTAATAGTAAATATAAAATGTTTCAGAAGTTTACATCTACTACAAAGTGGCTTTAAATCTTTGTTTAAACATGATTAATGATATAGATAAGATTATTAAATCAGAAAATTCACCACCCTAAAACATTGTGCAAGAAACATTAACAAGGAAAAGTCAGCATAAATTCAAACAGTAATAAGAAAGTCTGTTAAAAATATTATGTGAAATGTATTAATGGCAATTTTATTGGAAATTTCATTGCAACCACAAACATTTTCATTCTAAGTGTGCTTATCACCTGTATCTACTGAGTAAATGAAATTTAACTTCCCTCTGTATTCTTCTTAGTCATAGCTAAGAAGCTGTTGTGGCTGTTCATGGACAGGTTTGCATTTCGTCATTGCTACTCTATATTATTAAGCTTATAAGTCACTATAAGTCTATTTAGCACTTTTTATCACTATTTAGCATTTTTTATTACTATTTAGTACTATTTATGAATTATTTTTTTCCCTTAACCATTGTAAATAGGAACTCAACTTTGGAATTATGAAAAAAGGTAGAAAAATTTAAAATTAATTAAAAAATTTCAGCTCTTATGGACTGGCTTGAAGAAATAAAAAAATCTCATGTAGACAATGAAGCAATCAGCAATGATGTAGCAGCCCAGGCCCATCTTGAAAACTATGCACTGAAATTGTTTCTGTATGCTGACAAACAGGACAGGGAACAAAATTATGGAAAGTAAGTTGCACATGCAGTTCTTTATAAACAAAAGTACCAGGTTCATAAACATCTAATCTATTGGTCAAAAAAGTAAAAACATAAACCTTAAAACTGAAGGTGGTGAATTTAAACAAAATACATCAGCCTACCTTAATTTACAATATACTATATAATGTTCAAACTGTATGTAATACACAAACCTGAAATTCCACACAAGATTCCTGGGTGAATTTTCAAAATAGCAAATTATCAATGTTATTCAACATTCAGTCTCAGAGTAACAGCTTCGTTACTCGAAACGTGCTTTGAAAAAAACTTTATACATTTGCTTAAAGCTTGTATGGAACAAAATAATACAAAAATGATATTTAATTTTTAAATGTTTAAAAATAATACCCAAAAATCATTCACCGCGCTGTTATTTCACAGTTTATTCATTAATATTTCAAAAAAACTCTAAATACCTTCCTAAATTTTGCTTTATTAATTTTCATACGTAATAATTATTGCCTAAGCTAAGTAGAAATACATTTTTCAAACCATAACTCACAATCTAACGTTATTATTTAACCATTTAAAGTTTTGTCACAAGTTTTTCATCATTACCTTCCACGTTTTTTGTTTTATGAAATTTGTCTGACCAAATTACTCTACAAATATTCGAACGCGTCCATAACGATTCCTCGCGTCGCGCCCTTCAGTCGTGATCGAGATTTGAACGTGCGTACACCTAGACTAGGTAAAAGAAGATAAAAAGTAATTTTAATTTTAATTTGTCAACAAATCTCATCATTAAACGACTACATTTCNTAATAAATCAAAAAATGAAAATTCACCCTCCTACTTAAAACCTTGTCCAGAATTGTGTTCTATTGCAACAACTGTAGCTAAATGCCAATTTTGTTTTTAGAAATGTGGTCAAGGCATTTTATACTGCGGGTATGATCTATGATGTTCTTACCACATTTGGTGAACTGACAGATGAAGCTTCTCAGAATAGAAAGTATGCTAAGTGGAAGGCTGCGTATATTCATAACTGCCTTAAGAATGGAGAGACACCCGTACCAGGTATTGTTTAAATAAATACATTTCTTATTTTTTATTTTAGATGGATGGACGAGCTGACAGCGCACCTGGTGCTAAGTGGTTACTGGAGCCCATAGACATCTACAACGTAAATGAGCCACCCACCTTGAGATATAAGTTCTAAGATCTCAGTATAGTTACAACAGCTGCCCTACCCTTCACACCGAAATGTATTACTGCTTCACGGCAGAAATAGGCAGGGTGGTGGTACGCGCGGACTCACAAGGGGCCCTACCACCAGTAACCTTTATAGTTTTTTTTGCACAAAATCCTAATGTGACATGGTTATTATAACATTAAATCACCAAGCGATATCTTGGTCCACCTTCTATTCAATGGCTACTGCATCCTATTTCAGAAAAACTGATACAAAACATTTTCATATTCTTCTCATAAGTGGTCATCCTTGATCATGTACATTAGCATTTTAAAGGCTTTTCAAACAAGTAGAGTTATTCCAGTGGTAGGTCGCATAGGGAAAAATATTTCTGGAAACATACTTCATAATTCGTTTCCAAATGATTCTTGTCCACCTGATGGTTGTCTGGAAGAAATGGCTCTTAGCGATAAGACCGCCAATTGTACTTTTTTTGTATTTAATGTATTGCATTTTTTTTTTTTTAGTGTATAATAAAGAATACTCTCTCTCTCTCTGTCATATCGGATGAGTCTACCATTTCTAGACATAGGTTTGAACTCTGCTTTAATGGCAGGTGATGCCATGATAAAAAGCTGATATGACTTATGTTAAGTGTATGAAAGCAAAATGTAGTCACAACTGTGAAGCCAAAACCCACTTGTTTGCCTCAGTGCCTAGCATAAGATGTTCAATCTTAAATCATCAATATTCCCAGGTCCAATGCAGTCAGAAGATGATCAAGGCAATGCAGGGATGTCTAGTGGCAATCAAGAAGCACCTTCGGATCCACCTCAACCTACTGATTTCACAAGTAACCCTCCAGAAACACCTCCCATAGCACCCACAAGCTTCAATAGCTCGTTACCAGATCCAAATGCAGTATTAAGAGCTGCATCTCAATTACCCCCTGTTCCGTACACTCCAGATCCAAATCCAGGTGGTTTTGTGCCATATGACCCAACCCAACAACCTCAACCACCTCAGCCAACCACCTTTCATAGTGACACTACCAATTTGCCAACTCTTACACCTGATCAAATAGGAAAAGCTCAGAAATACTGTAAATGGGCAAGTAGTGCTTTGAATTATGATGATGTTAAAACTGCTATTTATAATCTTAAGAGTGCTCTGGAGTTACTGCAAACNTATCGTGTATCGGCTGATATCGAAATATAGATTTCGATTCACGAATCGGTCCGATATGGCGATGCGCATCACATCGAACAATATCGTGTATCGGCTGATATCGATATATAGATTTCGTGCGGGGCGATATCGGATTCAACGATATTGCTGCGATATATAGATATTGAATCTATATACGATTTATATCACCCACTCCTAGTATGAAACATGCTTAGAAAGGATATTGTGCCTTTTAAGTACAAGGTTTTATTGCAAATAAGATTTAGTTCTAATTTTTTAGTTTTTCAAGTATTTTCATTATGATGTTTGTATAATATAATAGTATTCATATTGGGTGCAAGATGATCAATAATCTAAGGAAAGCCCCCAAAATATAACCAGTATAACCGAATGTAATTGAGCATATTATTATATCAACTCCAGTAACCATAATAATTTAATTAATAATGTTACTATAAAAGAATTTTTTTTTATTTAAGGTGCATATTTTATTAGTATAAGGATTGAATTTATTTTTTCAAAGTTGACTACAAATTGAAATAAAATATTCAGTACATATTTAGTAAATATCTGGTAATTGTAAATGTTAATCTGTGAATTATTATTGTAATGTATGAATGTTTTTATAATCTTGTAATTGAAATATAATTAATGTAATTTATTTTAATCTCAAAAGAAACATCTAACCACTTATGTACCACAAAATTGTTATAGATGTAAAAATATATGATTTGTTTTGATGCTGAATAATAAAAATGCGCTTATTGGTATTTTAGTGTAATCTAATTGAATTATAATATTTAGTTTTAGGGCCTGTCCGCACAGCCATATTTCACTGCGAGGTTTTTATTCGCGCGTATTAAATTCCGCGATCGGAATTACACCTAGTACGCACTGCGAATAAAATTCCGTACTATTTTCGTCAGTTTAATTCAGTTCTCGGCTGAGACACACATGTAAAATGGACAACCGAACAAAAATTTTAATTTATCTAATGCTAACGCGGCGTAACAGACGTATCAAAAGATTTCATGAGCATTGGATTCACCCACTTACGGCATTGACACCCATGAAAGGATTTTTCTACATAAAATATCAAGAGTTGCGAAAATACAGCAAAAAGTTAGTTGCTCCACATCAATCTCATCATTTTCTTGCACGGCCGCCGATCGAGCGGGAGAAGAAGCGCGCGCGTCTTTTCAATAGCGACGTTGCACGACTGAGCGAAACGCGCGAATTTTATTCCACAGTGCGAACATAGTCAAACTTACTTTATACGGTACAAAATATTCGCGCGGAAATAAATCGCACCGTTTCGCGTTCAATTTGCATCAAGTCACAGATTTTTTTTCCCGCGCGATTTTTTTACCGCCATGGCGCCAGTGCGGATACTCCTATAATATTAAATGTGTTACAGAATTACGAGAAAAAAATCGCGCGGTGAAATATCGCTGTGCAGACAAGGCCTTAAAATCCCGCAGGCGGGTACCAATTTTTCTAATGAAATACGTACCTATTTAACAAAATAAATGTTCACGATTGACTTTCACGGTGAAGGAATAACATCGTGTAATAAAAATCAAACCTACAAAATTATAATTTTACTGACTGGTAGTAGGACGTCTTGTGAGTCCGCACGGGTAGGACCCTGCCTATTTCTGCCGGGAAGCAATAATGCGTTTCGGTTTGAAGGGTGGGGCGGCCGTTGTCACTATACTGAGACCTCAGAACTTATATCTCAAGGTGGGTGGCGCATTTACATTGTAGATGTCTATGCGCTCCAGTAACCACTCAACACCAGCTGGGCTGTGAGTTCGTCCACCTATATAAGCAATAAAAAAATTGCACATTTGGGTAAAAAAAAAAAAAAACCTCTACAGCTTAAGAGAATATTCAACAGCATTGGCGCTATCCACAACGACAACGCCTTTTTAAGAATTTAAAAACTTTTATTCCATTTATTCATTTATTACATTCACACACCCTAATACCACACATCACATAGTGCTTGAACATAAAGTGATTTAATATTATGAATAGATACTGCAAATAAGATTAAGCTTACATTGTACAGAAAAAATAAAGCGTAGGTAAATACTATAGCACATTATTAATAAAAGCTTAAAAAACGTTAAAATAGTGACTACCTTAATTAAATTCTAAAGGACTTAGCTTGTACAACGAGAGTCTCGGTCCTGATTTAAACAAATCTTTTTTTTCCTTATGTCTATGAACACAAAGCTTCTGTATAGAAATGAGTTAAAATGATTCGAGCCTTTTATTTGATAATAGTTATTATGATTAATGTCTCTTCCAGTGAGGTCACAATTCATTGATGTATTATAATAGTATGATAAACATGACAATAGTTTGCTGGATTTCACACAATAGGTATGTATTTTTGATGGTATGGTACTATTTATGGTTGGACTAATTGGTCGCAGCTCCCACCTGCCAGTCTTAGTACAAGTCACCATAACAAACTTCTAATTACCGTGCATCTAAAAGTTTGTGTAATATTTGGCTTAACCTACCACCCTATCACTTATAAGACGATTGAGGGACTCGCCGGAAAATGGACAGCAGAAGTCTCAGAGTAGTTAAACTAAGATCGGCGTTTTAGGTCCCCACTATTGTGCTTATTTCAAGGACAGTCGACATATTTTATAATTTAGTCTTTGCATGTCTTATGGTGGGTTGCGACACGTTGTCTATAGGCTCCGTGGACACCAGACGGGCAATGAGCTGGTTCACCCGTCTTCACTATAAATAAAATTATTCTAGTTCTTCAGCAATGTCGTTGTGTATTTTACTAGGTTAATATTTTTGGTATCGTTATGGTATCTACACTAATACCAATGTTAGAAGTTGATATTAATATTCTCGTACGAACTAGTCCGACGGAAGTTAGATGAACATTCAAAAAAAGCATGCCTGAGTTCATCATAATATTTCAACTAATTTAAGATTTGATGTAATGATAACACAGGATCGATAAGATACTAATCTATACTAGTCATGTCAAAATACTTTTTTAGTATTACAAGCAACAGCGACATTATTCTACGATTGAGCAAAATATGTTAATTTGTTTTTTTTTTGCGTCGCTCCAATGGCTTACCCTTACCGTATCACCATTACAGTTAACAAACTTGTACACGCATCGAACACGCCACATATCTACACGAAAATTAATTATCGCTTAAATTAATATCACTTTACAAATAATATATTTAACACGTTGACTGCCATGAAGGTCACCGGTGCCCTACGCGGCGCACTCAAGTAATTATGTCTATTTCTTCTTACCAAGACGCCGGAATATCTAGTAGACTCTGGGCAAAACGAATCCGAAGATACTGAGGATGAATCTATTTCTAAGATACCTAAAAGAATAAAACTAATGTATGAATAACAAACAAAAGAAGGCCAAATTTTTGTAACAAAAATCGATATGATTAGGTACTTCAGTGCGCTGCGTAGAGGGCACCAGTGACTTACATGGCAGTCAATGAGTTAAGGTTTTTTTTTTGTATAAATGTAAATAAAGGTTGTTTTAGAAGACGACCTGACGATGATGTAGCGACGTGCGCTGACAGGCGAGGCAGCGACAAACTTCAGTCGAGCTCCCATCAGCTCGAATGTCAACATGATAATAGTCTCGCCAACCGAACACAGTTTACATTACAATTCGGGTACAAGGCGTGTGGATAAGTCGACATTTCGCGGATGTGAACTAACATTGCTATTTGAATAAATTATGATGAGTTTTTGGCCACCCACCTTGAGCCATGAGTTGTAAGGTCTCACGTTTATCGGTACATCGGCAGCCCCGCCCTTCAAACCGAAACGCATTACTGCTTCACGGCAGAAATAGGCGGGGCGGTGGTACCTATCCGTGCGGATTCACAAGATGTTCTACCACCAGTAATTACGTAAACTAAAATTTTGCGGGTTTCATTTTATTTCACGATGTTATTCCTTCACCGTGGAAGTTAATCCTGAACATTTGTTAAGTACGTATTTCATTGGAAAAATTGGTACCCGCCGGCGGGATTCGAACACCGGTGCATCGCTACCTACGAATGCACCGGTCGTCTTATCCTTTAGGCCACGGACGTCTAGTTGTTATTAGATCTGTGTGCTTAGTGCGAGTTTTTTAACGTTCTCGATATCGTAAAGCTAGCTCATATTTGTATGCAGAGCGCTCCAGAGCGGCAAACGTAGGTAAACGTTCCAACTCCATACAAAATTGAGTTAACTTTTACGCTATCGAAAACGTTAAAAAACTCGCACTAAGCACGCTGACTACAGTATCCGAACTAGAGGCTGCAGTTACTCAGCGTCTTTGCTAAAAATATTTTTAAAACCTATGTGTATCCATTCATAACACAGAAAAATCGTAACTCAAGGATTTTTAAATAAATGAATTAAAAACATATTCATTATTGTGTTAATAAACAAAAAAGAACATACCAGCATTTTAGTTCACCGATGACTTTTCAAAACTACGCCTTGTACAGAATTGTAACAATATAAAAGTAACATCAAATTAATGCAACATGTAACAACAGATTTGACTAGCGAAATCACAGTGATTCATGTAAGATTGTAGATCAATTAATGCTTGAACAAAATATTTACAATATAAAATAAACTTATTTTTAAAGTTCAATATATTACTCATTAATGCTAACGTAGCTTATTTATAAAATGTCTTCATTTAATCCCTCTTTAGTCCGTTGCCGTTCTGGGCTGTGGCGGACTTCTCTAGCTGTTCACGTCGACTCGTCTGATACCTGAATTAAAAGATAACTTATTAGTCGAAATTAATTTTTACTGGTGGTAGGACCTCTTGTGAGTCCGCACGGGTAGGTACCACTACCCCGCCTATTTCTGCCGTGAAGCAGTGATGCGTTTCGGTTTGAAGGATGGGGCAACCGTTGTAACTATACTGGAAACCTTAGAACTGATATCTCAAGGTGGATGGCGCATTTACGTTGTAGACGTTTATGGGCCCCAGTGACCACTTAACACCAGGTGGGCTGTGAGCTCGTCCACCCATCTAAGCAATAAAAAAAATCCATTATATTAGCCATACTAGAGCTATTGCAAATTCCTTTTCAAATCACGACATTTGAAAATTGGATATGGGAGTGAAGTTCTTTTTGTAGTATACTATTTGCAACGGCGGATCCAGGGGGGGGGTCATGGGAGTCATGACCCCCCCCTGAGCTATTTCCAGGACTTGAATTAACTTGGACTAATTGAAGAACATCATGATTTATTTATTATCTATTGTTATCAAAATTAAATTATAAGTTCTTAACTTGCCCACGACTATGTGACCCCCTCCTGGCGCCAAAGCTGGATCCGCCCTTGACTATTTGGTATACGAATAATGCCCTGCTTGGTATCAAGCAAATGCTCCGTAAACACTGAAGTCATTTTGGAACATTAGTCCATTTCTGATTGCATTTGAATAACGGGTATCTTATACCTTCCAAATCTAAGCGCAGGTTGCTTCGCCGTAAAATTGGCCCTGTGATGGATGATGGTGCGTGCAAACACGTTTATGTGCGGACTCAACACGATTATCCTAACACCAAGCGTTTGAGCGAAATCTCACTGTAGCTTCCTTTATGTTCTCTTAGACTCGTGATAAACTATGCGCAGAGATCGAGGGTAAAAATATTACAACCTACTTCTTTAAATAAAAATCAATTGCCATGTGCATGACGGAGGATTGCTTGAGAACGGCCGGAACGATTTGTCTGATTTATTTTTCGTTGTAGTTAGGTCATTCGCAGTCTTTAGGTCAAGGTTATGAAATATTTATTTTAGAAACTAAACTGTGAAAGTTTAAAATATAAAGGACAGTCACAGCGGAGCGTGACCGATGTGTTTATTATAAATGTGAAATTTTGTTTCCCCGTAACGTATCTTTAAGTAGAGAAGTACACAACCAAGGAGTGCACCGGTCACCGTCCTCGCCGAACCCGTCGCTTGCGACGAAGGGCTCGACGAGTAAATTAACCCATAGACACAGCCCACTGGGTTTCTCGCCGGTTCTTCTCAGTGGGTCGCATTTCCGATCCGGTGGTAAATTCTGCGCAGCACTGCTTTTGCTAGGGTCAGTGTTAGCAACACTTCCGGTTTGAGCCCCGTGAGCTCATCTACTCGTCCGGTCACGCTGACATAGCCTCTCAATGCTATCATCAGCTTAGGTAGGAAAAAAAAGAATTGCATGATTTGATTCTGAAAAAAACGCCGTATACGCCTAAACCCAGTGCGCCTATACAAAACTGTAATTTGAATACACGAGTTATCACAGCAACAGAACTACACGGCGAAGCACTAGCTGACGTAACTGAGAGGTATTAAATTTATCCTCTCGCACTCCGCTGCATCCTTCTGCGATAATCGTGCACATGAACTCATATTATATCGCCTACTATATAATTTCTGCTATGTATTAAACGAGGATGTAACGTGTCTTTTGAATTACCACAAAACACAGTGGCCTTTCTTCGACATGGTGCGAATGTCCATCGAAATATTCGGCTGAGAGGAAAGTCATCTTAAGCAATGAGCTGTCCAGAGACTACTTTCTATCATTTGACACTATAATGTGGGTATTTTTTTTCGGTATGATACGCTGGACGCTTGCATTAAATAAGATCAATTCAAGATATAATTGAGGAATGACAAGATCGATGCGGTTTTAGATTGTGAGTTATAATGCGCGCGACACCGCCGCCCGTCGTGGATTCTCTGGAGCCGGGCCAAACTCCGAGCGAACGATAACTCTAAATTTATTTCGTAACTGATGTTTTAACATCACATAAAATCGTTCAAGGTGCAACGGTTTACATTGAACATTGATTACGTCTTAGAAACGCCTATGCTAAATGTCCCTTACATCAGCGTTGTTCGTCAATATTAAAAACATAACCTTATTTACTTGTTTCAAAACACTAAAGGTTCATTATTAATTTTTATTAAATTTTTAGTGCATACAATTTTAATAGAACAGTCTACCATATTAGAATAACATTTACTGAAAATAGCGTAATAAAATAAACACGTATTGTTCGATTTTAAAAGCAAATTTCATCAACTGTTACCTATAATACAAGTTATTTATCTACTACCTAGTTTGATTCGCGGAGCCCAGGGTTATCTAGGTCAGCTATTCAATGAATCTGATCGATACAAGATTAAACATTTTCATTGTGGACTCTAGTAGCATTACATTTAGTTTTAAATTTAAATACCTTGCTGTCAACATCACATTGTTTATAACAGCTTCATTTGAATTTGTGCTCGTTGACGTCAATCATAACATCTACCCACGGGCAACTGCTGATTACTGGCTCCGAATAAAATGAAACGGTATTTTTGTTTTCGTTGCTGTAGGATATACAAGCTTCGACTTGATGTTAAGCAGTTATATACAGAGCAGAGGGCCCCAAGCTTCGATCAACAATAGTAACTAGATTTCGGGTCGGTGCAGAAAATCCGTCTCGTCAAATAACAGCTCACTTAAAATGTGAGCTGTTATTTTGTTTAGTTCACTTCAAACACAGCCAATGTCAACCCGTCTCACAATACCGCAATGTGTATTCAAAAGTTGCAAAAATAATGGCGAAAAAGCAATTTAACGGCCGGAGTATCTTACTTTCGGTAAGTACATGAAGTATAAACTATATTTTAAGCTTTAAACTTCTAAATAATATTAAATTTTGAACAAAATTACCGATTTTTAATCACCGCTACAAATGTTGGCCAAGGCTCGGCCAGCACATGGACAAACTTTTGCTTAACAGAACAGTAGATGCATGGAGTTGATTTGTGTTGTAATAATTTTTTAAAATTTGTTAGCAGAACTTCGAAATTAGTTGGTTAAAATTGGTTAATGCTGCTTTTGTGTCTGTTTGTTGGACTCTCATTAGATACTTAGCTTTCCATTTTTATTTTAGCTTTCCTAGCAATCACGTGTGCAGAATGGATCTCGATTGTCGCCAGAGAAACAAGAGATGACTTTTATAAGCCAGCTAAGATCTCCGCTTATTGACACTGGACATCTTTGCCTTCCGTGCTCACGGCTACTGAAACGTGGCCGAAACATTGTAATAAAAATACCGCGCTTGAAACCGTTTAAACGTTGTTTTATTATGTGCACTGTTCGCGAAAACTTAAAAACATACTATAAAAATATATATTACACAAAAACGTAACGCTAATAAAATAATAAGTAATGTATAGATACTAACAAACATACATTTCCAAAACATAAAAAGTAAACAACTAAACTTTTACTTTAATTCATTAATCAATTATTTTAGTGTTCAACGCGACTCCCTTACCTCCTGTAGTAAACAGAAATCGGCATTTCAAGAAGCAAAAATAAATAAAAAAAAACGTTGTTAGTTCTCAGAGCAATTAAGGAAAAAGTTACTTTATTTTTTGCAGCTTAAGATTGATTTAACATTAAAAGTTCTTTAACATATGTCTTTTTATTGGTAAATGACAGGGGTGATTTATTGCTTTGCTAATTTTATGTGACGAATGATCGTAAGTATTAGATAATGTTTTGGAGATTTGTGACTTTATTACTAGGTGCCATAGTTGTAATTAGTTTGAACGTAAAAGTGTTTCAAAACTTTTTTCTCCGTTTGTTAGTAAACGAATGTAGCTATTTATGTGTATATTCACGCGGACAGCTTTTGCTTTAATTTTGTACGTGTCCCTTTATCTAGTTACTATTGTTGATCGAAGGCCCCAAGCGATAGGCAGCGGTTTAGCGAGATCACTTGTCATAGGATAGTCTATATTATGCTCGTCTTCAAAGATAAAAAACCTGCCTTAAAACATGAGGGACTAGGTCTAAATTGACCCTCAAACGGGTGAGTCGGGTTCCTTCAATCCTGAAACGCACGACTGCTTTGGGGCAGAAATAGGCAGAATTTTCGTGCTAACCGTACGCGATCAAAATACAATCCGTATTCAAAAAATCCAATAACTAGTAAATAAAAAAAAATCCCAAATAAATAAATAATTTAAAGCAATAAATAGTTGTTTGGAACTGAACATCTTTCCTGATTTATAGAAGGCGAGGAACTTTTAGTTCATATATCATAGTTGTTGATGTAAAAGTGATTTACGGTACAGAATTCCATATTTTTCAGTAATTCAGTATATACATCATTCTTTGCAGGAAGTTTCGCTGTACCTATCGTATTGTTGATATCTTGAGCGAAAATGACTACTTACCTTCAAGTGGGCATAAATGCGTTTGCCTACAGTGATAAAAAAAATTACAGAATTTCTCTATACAAAGACTCCAAGGCTGGTAAGCCATCGAAGGACCTTTTTTAAGGTTACTGCACGAGACAAGCTCATCTCCAACGCGACGTTAAACGTTAACCCGAGCCAATAAATTGCCTATTACATTTTGTTACAAACACACACATACAAAACCAGAATCACACTGAAAATACAAATTCTAAATGTGTCCAATCACTACATAGTATAAAACAAAGTCGCTTTCTCTGTCCCTATATCCCTATGTATGCTTAAATCTTTAAAACTACGCAACGGATTTTGATGCGGTTTTTTTAATAGATAGAGTGATTGAAGAGGAAGGTTTATATGTATAATAACATCCATTACATAGTGGAGAATTCAATAATAAATTAGTTTCCGAAGCGAAGCGAGGGCGGGTCGCTAGTTCAAAAATAAATATAAAACTATTTACCAAACGACGAGCCTCCCACTGAGCATGAAAAAGAATACGAGAGCCGGCGCGCATCGGTCGAACGGGTCGCCCACCATCACGTGAGAGTACGCCGCCAGGATCATTAGCAACACCAGGCCGATGTTCGCGGCGTTCTTCAACTTATCTGCAAAAGTATTCCTTCTAGAAAAACATCGATCAATGATATGATTTCAAACAAAACAATCGCAACGGCAAGGCAAACTGTAATGTAGGAAAAATATAATGAAAACTGTTAGAGAACATTAAACGTACCGTCTTAGACTTGGTTGTAAGATTAACAGTATTAAAATAAAGCTAGGGATTTTGGGCGGGAACGCGAGGATCAAAAGTAACGTTCTAAGATTATAAATTTAGGGTTCCGTACTTTAAAAAAAATGAAGCTTAAACGATCATTACTGTCATATTTCTGTTCGCTTGATTTTTAAAACCCATTTCACTTGTCCTTGGGAACGTAAGCGCATCAACTGGAAGTCAATACTAAATACTTTCAAAATTGTAAGATATCGCAACAAAATTGTAAGATAAGTCATTTACAATCACACTGTCTTTATCTTTTTCAGTAATTTTCTAATTGCTGATCATTTATCTTTCATAAACTTTGTTTCCATAAATAATTTGAAGACGTTGCAGATATTTTTTCCTTCTTATTCGCTGATAGCCTAGGGGGCTATTCTAGCTACGACCGGACAGGGCGATATTATTACATGCGTTACTGATTAGCAAGCTTTTGTTTGAATTTGAAATTATCTTGTCAGTATAGATATTAATGAAGTTTCTCAAGGCGTTATTGTTATTACATTTATTGTTCAGATTAACTGATTACCAGTACTAAGTAATCACTGTAGCCAATAAAGATGACGGCGGGAATTCGTGCGAGACTGTAATCTCGATTGCTTTGGAATAACGGCTATTCTACTCTTCAAACCAGGCCGCAAGTGTTAGAACTGTCCTTCTTACTGTATGCAACCATCGTAAGTTTATTAAAAAAGAATAGTTGTTGCCTAGCAACAATTAGTTAGACTTATGTAAAAATAAAAAGTCAGTATGTACATCCGAAGATTATGTTATACCTACACAATTACCACAGCAAGCCTATATCCAATCGGTAGGATTATCAGCAATTACGCCAAGATCAAACGCCACGGTTTTAACGCATTACTAACGAGTACGTTCAGCATGTAACCTATTACGGACACGGACCTTTTTTATAATATGATATTTATAATTTGAAGAAAACAAATTCAATATGTTTGTAAACTAATAAATAAAAATCAATTGCTATTCGTTAGTCTCGCTAAAACTCGAAAACGGCTGGACCGATTTGGCTAATTTTGGTCTTGAATTATTTGTGGAAGTCCAGAGAAGGTTTAAATGGTAGATAAATATGAAAATGCTCGGAGTTAAATAAAAATAACAATTTTGTTTTTCCTTTGATGTGTCTCCCGTCGGACGGATTCCTTTTGTTTGTTTTAAGTTTATTTTATACAAAAGTTTAGGTCTTTTATTTATCGATTGAGGCACTACGAAGTCTGCCGGGTCAGGTAGTAACAAAATAGATTTTTTAAATATTTTGTAATAATTTTAGAAATAGTTTATTAATTGTATTATTTTGGAAAGGTAAAAGTCCTGACAACATCTTCCTCAGATTTAACTGTATATTGATGACATTTCCTAAATACCTATATTAACGGTATTTGGTAATTTATTCGTAAAAATAGACTTAAAACTTTGTGATCGCAACAAGCTACTACTATGTTTTAGTACGTAAATATTCGAAATTTTGTGTAGTTTCATAAGTCGTACACCGTCCACGGAAGACCTTTCTCATCATTTTACTTTTTCGTAAAGTTTATTCAACATTTTCTACAAAATCTTCAAACGATGACAATGCAATGCTTAAAATAAATTTAGAAATACTTACGATTAGGTGCAACTGCCAACGCTAACCCAAATAATATTTCTAAACCACCCACGGTCCTCCTGTACCATTTCGATGGTAATTTGAAGTCCAACGTATCAGTCAGTGGGAATACTTTTGCATATCTAACATACTCCTTTCTCTAAAAAATAAAAATAAATTATTATCATTTTTTTGTAGTTGTATACACGACATAGGTACCTGCGCCAATCACGTTAGATATTAATTAAATTGTTAAATGTAGTCCATAAATCTCACGTAATTTGTGATCCGATTGTAAATGTTACGATTCTTAAATTTCAACGTTGCTGAGATTCTGAGACTGTTGATTGAGAGTCGCATTCTATAAAATTATTTTTAAAACGTTCAAACTAATATTTATATTAATAAATAATATAAGAAAGTAAACTCATTTTTGCAGATTTGTTTATTATAACCAAAATTAAAGCAAACGATTATCTACAAAAATAAGTTTATGTCTGTATACCTCTATAAGTTTAAGTTTACGTACATATTTGGTATGTATTAATTTAGATATATTTAATTTGATTATTGGCATAAACGAACATTACATGGTGAACAATCAACCATCTGATAATCGGCGTCCGCCTTGATCCACGAACGCCGTAATATAGTTTTTTTTTTTTATAAAATTAAAGTAATATATTTTGTTGCTTTGAAACTATCTCATGTCTGTAAACAGTTAGCAATATGCGTATCTTGATTTCCTAGTTTTTTGCTACACTATGAACGATAAATCCAACATCAAACGTCAATAACGAAAACTCATTTAGGTATGATGATTAAGTGTTATTGAAAAAGATGTTTCAAATTCACTCACTGCTCCTATACCTAGCTACAAATAGAAAATAGCAGTCAAAAGCAAAAACATTTTGCTCCATGTTGAACAAAAACATGAAGCATTGTGGTATTTTTCAATCCCGTAGTTTTTATAAAGTAAATATTTGAATGTGCACGAAGATGAGATACTCGTATGTATATCTCACACATGTTGATAATCAGATGATTAGTAGTAGGTACTACTATAGGCAGAGAGAATTTTAAGTTAGAAAATTAGCAGTAGAAAATTACAAAGCATTATTATTATATAAACGAATTGGTGATTTGGAAATCATATGGACAATAATCTGGATAATAGGTAGTCTAATACGATATACAATTCTCATGATTCTCAAATAATTCGTTTTCCGACACTTTTCGAATAACCCTTGGATATAAGCCGTGTATAAAACTACTACCATTGGTATCAAAACGTGAGTGCCATCGCCCACTTTTATTATTATTTGCCTTGTAGGCAAATGAGAAGATGGTGAGTGGTTACAATTGCTCATGGACGTCAGCAATGCGTGGGGCAGAGCCAAGCCGCTACCTATAAACCACCACCACCTTGAATCATTGTATCGCAGTTTGGGTTATAGTGACGTGTTTGGGCTACTGCAATTTTACTATAATTAAAAAAAGTTTTCCCACAGCTCGACAATTGTGAATTCGAGTTACATGTATAAATTTTGATTATTTAAATTTGGTACTGTTTATATTGTACTACTTTTTTCCGATTTTTCCATATTGATTATATCTTCTTTGTTTGAAAAAAAGAAGCCTGAGGTCTTGAATTTTTTATTAAATATTTTTAATGAAATACATGTAACATTATAATAATATAATAATATGTTTTGAATTCCTGGCGACTCTACAGCATTTGCTCCAATTTTGAAAATGGTTTAATGATATATTTATAAATCAAAACAATTTTTGTACGTTTTTTGAGAAGCTATCATCCATTTGAAGCGTGGAACATCCGCTATACAAATAAAATTGAGAATTCGACCTCTCGTGTAAAGATGAAGTGGTGACGTGTAGGTAAGCAATGGAAAAAGATGAGATACAGGGACTCGTCATGAAAATCGCCTCATGGCCGCCGCTGACTACTCTCCGAGTGCGGTTCACGCAGGAGCCAGTCGCCATCGACACCCTAGAGATCTCCTGGCGGATCCATCCGATCCACTGACATTGTTATTCGATGTCTGCAACTCTAGCACTAGGAGCAGGCTTAAGGATCCTGGTAACTGTACTCGAGCCGTGCCTGAATTTGGACGTGAAACCTAACTCATACATCCGCCTGCTGAGTTTCTCGCTGGTTCTTCTCAGCGGGTGGCGTTTCCGATTTGGCAGGAGATGCATTGGCTGTTAGGGCCGAGCCCGTGCTCGCCCACCTATCCTGGTGAAACTGGAAAGGCCGGGCCAAAAGTAATGATTCCCACCAAAAAAAAATCTATTCATCTCATATGTCTATTAATTTGTACATGCCTCTTTTATGCGATGGAAATGAAAATACAACCACGACTATCACTATACATTATGGCTGTCGGCATTTCTACACTATATACTAATGGAAAGAATAGTTGATGATTTTTCTGGTTTTTTTTTCCTGCCTATTCTAGTAACCTCGAGGGTTTATTCTAGATTCACCGAGCAAGTATCTAAGTGAGCTCGCGGGGCTCAAACCGGGGATGTTGCTAACACTGTCCCTAGCAAGAGCAGTGCTTCGCAGAATTTACCACCGGATCGGAAACGCGACCCACTGAAAAGATCCGGCGAGAAACTCAGTGGGCTGTGTCTATGGGTTAATTTACTCGTTGAGCCCTTCGTCACAAGCGACGGTTTCGTCGAGGGCGGTGGCCGGACAAGTTTCCAATAAAACATTCAATATACTGTAAACCGATCCGGAATAGATCAGCGTTATTGTAATTTTTTATTTGGCACATAAGACCACAAATTAAATTTACAGTGGCGATGGATAGCTACGTAGGGAATATTTGACGTGAAAAATCCCTTAAAATTACACCAGTAATTCGATAGGGCCGCGACAGGCATTCGTGTTCGCGCAAATACATAGCAATTTATCTGACCACTTGGCCACACTTGTACAAACGATGCGAATATTTGACAAATCTGGATAAGTTACCACCACCATCCTTATCGTCTAAAAATTCTTCGTTATAGCCCTTAGTAGCATCTTAGCAATAAATGAACCACAAGCTTATCTGCTTATAGTATGTATAATAAAAATCCAACGAAGGATGATTTTGTGTTTGCCGAAACATCGATCGCCAGCATACCAAGCGACTGTCTCTTTGGTAGAAGAAAGTTTGAAAATCCGTCCGGACGGTGCCATACGCATACTTGGAATACCTAGTAAGCAAGACGAATTTGAAGAAAGTGAATACTAAGTAATCTGCTAAGCATGGGTAGAGTTTTTGACTGATACTCTACCAGCTCTTTTGGTGAGATTGCAGAACTCACAAAAGTCATCTGCGACGAGACGTCGCTGACGAGCATTTTACGGCGGCAATGACCATAGATAATGAAAAGAGCGTGTTCCAAAACCACAATAGCACCCCTTCCACGCGAAGTAGTCCTTAAAGTATAGGTAGTATCGATGGAAAGCGGTAACCACTTACCACCAGGTAAGATTTACCAGTTAAGATTTGTTTTGGGTAACAAATCTGCTCAATTTGGAGGGCTACTATCACTTATAAATAAGCAGTAACACAATACTTTTTAAATTGATAAAAATCAAAGTCGTTTGTATCAAATGTATAATTTTTGGGTATTACATATCATTTAAATACATATATTGTTTATCATAGTCGGAATTAGAATAGTGTACTTGATTTAATAAAACTAAGGATTAGACTTGAGGATCAAATGTTTAAGTATTTATATGCGTTCGTTCTAGATATGAAAGATTTCTATGTTTACTTTATATTATAGTAATATTAATTTACTTTCGTAATCACAGCATCGACGGCCGCGCTGTCGCAACTAGAAAGTCGCAGCGAGACAATCCCGCAGATGTACAATATTAGGCCGCAGGCCAAATACTAAAATAGCAGTTACTTCGCTCTTCTACAATTCAAAAACTCGATGCACCATGGCCTTTCTAAGAAAGTAATAAACATAATTTAATATTACATATCACTCACCAAATCCTTATGCAATTCTTTCGATATCATAGGTGTTAATTTTGTGATTCCGACAAATACAAAAAATATTCCCAAAAGCACGGATAAACTTTTCAAAACAATAGAACCCATTTTTTTCAATAAGAAATATTAATCGCAGAAATATGTAGTTAATTCCACAATTCAATACACGCACATAATAATTTTAATTCGAAACGTTTTTAATTACTGAACATGGTTGTAATCTAAGTCGTTACACTTTGACGAATAACTCTAAGCGGCAAAAACATCTAACATTTTTAATTATATTGAAAAAAGCGAACTAATTCTGCAGCTAGTCGGAAGCAAGCACATTTCGCGCCCGCGCGAAAAAATCCATAATGTCCCACAAATCCACATCAGTCAAGGAATACAAATGTTACCAGCACACACAAATTTTAAACTACAGTGCACAGAAAACATACTATTTACTATCCACATAAATTATTGGAGGTCTTTTGACGGTGTACAAGCAACCAATATTAGAGGTAGGTACATAAGATTTGGTGAGCCCTTTTTTAAGAAGTATTAATACCTCTGTAGGTACGTCTGGATCTCTAAAAAACCTATATCCAGGAATAAATATATGTCTCTATTTAGCCTGGCTAAATAGTTTGTACAGTTCATATGTCAAGACTACAGAATTAAATAAAAAACAGGTAACTGAGTTTTTATTTTATAGCATATTTTTTTAATAAAAATAAAGTAGAATCATTAAATAAATTCTGAGTGACGCTCATCCGATCGAAATCCGAAACCAGAGAGAGAACACTATTAAAATTACACAGCCAGCACTCAATGAGATACATAAGTTTTGAAGTCGTCATGGCCTACAAGTTAAGACCACTGGTGTATTCGTATCGAACGACGAAATTGTACTTGTTTGTTTAAACTTATTAATAAAGATTAATGAACTTTATATTAATTTTCATACGACCAAATAAACGAAAAGCTGGTAACAACATCAGAAGAGGACGATTGCCATAGTAAAAAAATAATATTTCTTTGGTGCAGTGATCGAAACTAGACCATATTCACTGTAACCACAGGATTTGGATTCATTTTATATCAAAATTTTTTTTTTGTTTTGTTAATGACATTCAATATAATAGTAACATTTGGAGACAAAGATCTCAATTGAAAATCAACTAACATACAGAGAAACTGTCCTCAACTATTATGTACTTCCCCATTAAACCTATTTATAGGCAAACACAACAATAATTTGTTGATTAAAGGAATTAAGCATTCAGTATAAATAATTACACAGATTAAGGGTCTCACTACATAAATTTAATAGACCATTCATACAATAAAACTAAAATTTTACTATATTTGCAAGTTGAACATTTTCATTGATTAAATATTGTCCATAAGTTTCCATGAAAGTTACTGAACCACACAAGAGGTATTGATCACTTATTCTAAATGGTCTATGATGGGATAATTCATTAAAATTAAATTTTGTACATATTATTGGTTCTTCATATTTAGATGGAAATTCATCACTACTTTCACTAAGATAAATTTTGTAAGAAAAGTTCCAATATTGTTTATATGAGTACAATTCTTCTCTTAAAATTATGGTCTCAATCTTTTGAGTGCAATAAATTAATATAATTTTTGTCATGTCATCTTCATTTTCAAGAATCTGCTGGATAATTGAAATGAAAGGGGCTAAGCCAGTTCCTTGGGCTATCATTATGATTCTATCAAATCTATTTGGAACAAGTTCATATTTTCCATATGGACCTCGCCATGAGGTTATATCACTTTTCTGTAAATTGTATAGATATAAAGACACTGAACCTATATTGCCTTTCTTTACAACAATGAAAAAGTCCCACAAATCTGTTTCATTTTTTTTTAACTTAATTGGAGTGTATGCTCTAGTACATGTTTTATTTTCTGCAGCATATTTCAGAAGGAAGTGATCACCTGGGTTCCACCATAATCGACTCATACCATTATCATTGCATACAAGTCTCTTTAGAATTATTATTGCATGTGTATCATTCATATATTTATTGTCTACCACAACAAAATTTGTGTATTTAATTTGTGATATTCCATTTTCTAAGGTATTATTTGTTATTTGCCCATACTTCAAACTATTTTCATATTTTTTAAGTTGCTCTTTATAAATATCAAATATACATGGGTTGCAGCCACTACCACAGCAATCTTCAATATTAGGTTCCACAGGTTTGTCCATTTTCATGTAGGTACAAGTTTATTAAACGTCAGAAAGGGTACATACATATATAATAAGCACTGTATATGCGTGATACTATGAATGCAAATCTTGAATAACAATGTTAGAATAACAATCGGTAATCACCAATACAAGATATTTATCACTCGATCCTAGAATCGGGCTATATTTTAATTGATACCTACGTTCTTTACTCTTTAATTATGTAATATTTACGATTTTTAAGTGAACTGTCATTACTGATTGTAGCTTGCAAAGCAATTAGGTACCAGGTACCTATCCGAACTTATATATTATGTATATATGATATGTATTACAAACTTTACAAAGTACTTCTTACTTTTAGCGTGAAAGCAATCAGTGTAGGGTTAATTGCACATATTTTGGTAATTTACTATTGCGAGTTCTTTAGGAGTAAAGGGTACCTTATTAATCGTTCATGTGTGAACGTGGACAAGTGTGGGAAATGAAACGAAATCGCTGAATATGGCTTATCAGGTTCATCCACATAATTCATTGAATTCTTTGTAAATTTGTAGGTATCACTTTATGAGAAGTTACTTAATCTTTTCAGTTGTATCTAATCTCATTTAATCCCAATTTATTACTTAGATTTAATTGCTAATAACCAAGATTCAGATTTCCTAATTCCTATATAAATAATGATAAATAATAGGAAATAGGAATTAGGAAATCTGAATTCGTTATCTTTTTTTTTAAGGGCTTTTATGACCTGGTAACTAAGACCTTTGGTTAAGTCTTATTTTAATTTTAATGATACGTAACTTTTTTTATATGAAAATGATATTATGAAATTAAATGAAGTTGATTATTATGAAACATGGCATGAAGTGAAGTGAAATGAAAACGAAATGAAATGAGATGAGATGATATGGGATGAAGTATAATCTCAGTAAAATGGTGGTCATTTGCTAAGACTTTTTCAGTGGACTTTTTGGAAGATTCCGAGAAGTTACGTCCAGCGGCTTTGTTTCATTTTTCCAAATTTGTGCACTTTCACAGATGCTAAACAGTTAATAAACCACCGTTATTACAAATTTAAACCTGCAGAAACATTAATTAGACAAAGTATAACAAATCACACAACTTCTCTCCTCGCGTTCCCGCCAAAAAACGGAACTGATATTATGTTTTTAAGGGATTTTATGACCTGGTAACTGAGACCTTTAAGTCATGTCTTATTTTAATGTATATTCATATTTTTATGAAAAATGATATTATGAAGAGAAATGAAATGAAAATGATTAATTTGAGACATTAATCAACTGGGATGAAATTAAATGAGATGATATGAGATGAAATATATTCTCAGTAAAATGGTGGTCATTTACTGGGACTGCTTCAGTGGATTTTTTGGAGAACATTTAATTTTGTGCACTTTCATAGATACTAAACAGCTAATAAACCACCGTTATTACACATTTAAAACTAAAGAAACACTAAGTAGCCAAAATTAAACAAATCACACAACTTCACTCTTCGCGTTCCCGCCAAAAGGTCGTTTCAAAGAAACCGTAAAAAGATAATCTGAAGTTATCATTGTCTTCATGGCTTGCTGAATAGGACGCCCGATAGTAGGGGAGCCCACGATGCTAAACGGGGATTTAGTCGAGCGTCATAGAGACCTATTGGGATGCAAAGCTTAGATGATAAAAAGAAAAAAGTGTTATATAATGTATACGTTTTCATTGGCGGGGGGAGCGGCTATAGATTTTCAAAAATATAAAAAAATACTGGTGCATGGACATAATCGAGTGCGTCAGATTTTGATAGCATCAATGTCCTACGTATTTTTAATAATGTATGTATGTTAATCTGATCGTTTGCATTGTGGGGGTGGGCGTACGTAAGGGATGAAAATGAAAAAAAAAAATTTAATCGAGCGCGTCATATTTTCTAAGGAGGTGTTAAGTGAACCTAAAAAAAAGCTCTCATTCAATAATTTGACGATTTTGATGTGACGCAAACTCGTGGCCATTATTATAATGTGCGAAAAAAATCGCCATTCTAGAATACTCGAGCGCGTCAGATTAAGATATTATATATCTTAGAGATGTGAGAGGGGAATAGAAACGTGGAGAGGGGAATATAGGCATCACGCAGCTGCACGCATTAAACTTTACAGACGAATTTTGGTTACTTCGGCTTGCGGAAATGGTCAAATTATATATTTTTCGTTATGCTTGAATTATTTCCTACAAAATAAAAAAAAATTAGCTACGCTCGAGAATGTCGAGAAGACGTCATTTTTACAACTTTTCCGCCCTCCCCTTTCTTTACGACACTTTCAAATTGTCAGATTAGTGGAATATACACTTTTTAGCATGTAATTAACTCACCCTACCTTAATCTGACGCGCTCGAGATTTTCTGATGATCGATTTTTTTTTACTAATCTGATCCTTTATCCTTGACGCGCGACCATAATATATATGGGGCTCATATTTGGTGGAGGTACTCAAACGGGTACAAGGTACCCCCCTGTATATTCATCTGCCGCGCTTTAGTAAATACCGAAATCCCCGCTTTGGCTCCCCTACTACGATGCGTTCGTATCTAGCGATGTGACTGTGCTGGTATTCAAATCCCGCAGGTAGGTATCGATTTTTCACGATTGACTTCCACTGCGAAGGTTATAAGTATTACATTCACATCATACCACTGGCTACGACAACACTGTTTTGGTCAGTATTTGAGTTATAATTTGCTTATTACGGTTAGAAATTTCTATAACTTATGCCTCATTTATATGATAGTTTTCCTTATCTATACCCTTCAAAACTGCACCTAAACATTTTTCTTAAGCAGAGTATAACTAATTAGGGTGACGCCTTCATAGCAAGTGGAAAGATTTAAAAAATAGCGTCACATTAAAGCAGAATACTAAATTAAGAAGAAAAGAAGCACTTACTACGTGAATAGGAATAAAAACAAACAGTTGGGAGTTTAAATACTGCATATTTTTTATTTTCATAAATCACGAAAAATATCAAATTTTTAACCCAGCACTTCAATCTTTTTAAAACTACTACATATATTCATATCATTTCCTACAGTATCGCTATTTTGATGCATCTTCCAATAATACCTTGCTTTACAGGTGAACACTTTTTCAACTTGTCCCTTGTACAAGATGGTGCTTCTTACCTCCTTACCTTCCCTAATTTATATTTTAAATTATTTCATATTTTTTAAGATTTAGTCAGCTGTGTACATAGCGACAAATTTCCCTTCTGCTCCTTACCACTGTGATCAAGGTACCTATTTCCTAATGACACACAGTGTTAAATTTATAAAATTAGCAAGAATTCCCAAGAAAACTAAACTAAAATCGTACCAATACTTACCACAGTGGAACTATGTTTAGGCTCAATACTTATGTGTCAAAACATGTCAAATGATTTTGTTCCGTTTTCCGATAACTGTGCATTTTTTTAAGATTCTTCTAAAACGCAAAAAGAAAAAAAATCTACTCTAACAGAAATTGTCATATTATGCGGATTATTAAACTGAAAAAGAAGAATATAATTATAAAATATTGACTAAAGCAACACTTAGCGACAACCAACAATGAACATAAAAAACTTAGAGAAATATATTATTTTTTATGACTTACGGGTTGAAATATCAAGTCATCATGGACGCAATATAATATGTTATTATTAATTTAAAAAGTATAAAATATTTTGTTACAAATTATATTCAAAATACTTCAAAGATACTACTATCTAATAAATTTAAATAAAAAAATCATTTTCATTTTTGCTGAAAAACAACTTTACTCGAGTTAAATGCACTTATAATTGCCCCTACGAATTTCTCTTATCGTCGGAAATATATGAGATCAAAGCGATCCTGGCTGCCAAAAATAGTTTCGTCGACCAGGAGCCTACCTTGCGGTATAGACAGTCTTTAGGGTGACCCTGACGACTAAAATAGACTAATGAGGCAGTAATTCATGAATCTAGAATATTCAATATCAAAAATAATGCCTAACCCTTAAAAATAGCATGAGTAAACAGCGTTCATAGTACCTAGCTTGTGTTAACTAACCAATCACGATAAAAAGCAACAAAATACAAATCTATCAAGAACAGCTACCTAGGATATCCGGGGGATCTTGTCATTATAAAGTATAATACTAGCCACTAGCTAACTGCCATTTGATGCCTTAAAACTGGCGGGCATTTTGAAGTTTGTACATTCCAAATTCTTTAGCTCACAATAATCGTTGTAGTACTTTCAACGAATTGACTATCATTTAATTCTAGCTAATACGCATGTTTCAGGTAATAATTTAATCTATGGTTATAAATTCTTACATTCTTCGCATTTCTCAATCTTTGTTCTAGTGTAGTACACACAACACAAAATAAAAATTACAAAACACTATAAATGCTAAAGGCGCCCTCTATACAGACGCCGCTCAGTGTTGTTTTCCAGACCTCCCGCAACCCGCTCTGCTGGTCTCGCGGCCCGCCATAAATTCTCACGGCAATAGCGGCATCGCTTGCTGTAAACAAGTTTTGTAAGTAAATCTTTACTTTTAAATGAAAATATTATCAAATGATAATAAAGTAGTAGTTTATTCCTGCCGATACTATAATCATTGTGATTAAATATTCTTTATTTAAAAAAATTCGATTACAAGATCTATGAAATGGACTCCATTGTAGATTTAGCGTTATTGAAGTGAAAAAACTATTATTAGTGCATTATTGTTCTGATATATTTAAAGTATTTGCATGCGTATTATTTCCATATTTTTTTTCATTATTCTCTTGTTGGAATGATTCTCTTTATGTTTCCATGGGCATAATTGAAAATAGCGTGTATTTAATGAAGCTATGTACCGGTCGTTGACACACTGTTTCGTGTTCAGATATTTTTTGAACCGTATTCATTTGTTTTTGGAAGCATCGCTAACCGTAAATAATAAATCAAATTTTATCTCAAATTCTCTGATGCATCTATTAACCTATCTGCATACAAATAATGACGCACCCAACAAAATCGATAACGTCTTCAACTAATTGTTCAATTTATATTTATTTCAGAGCTAAATACCTACATTATAAATTATTTAGTAAACTATGTCTGACGACGGTTCAACAGTTGTTGAAAAGAAAGGACGCGGTAGACCAAAAGCCAATGGAACACAACCTGTAAGTAGTTTTTGTCATGATATGCTCTGGATTAGTACTCCATAATAATTATATTTTTCACTTCAGGAGTCGAAAGAACTTAAAAAACGAGGTCGGCCTCCAGCTGCCACCAGAACAAAAGATTCTGCTAAGTCTTCTGATGATGAGCAAGCACCAGTAGCTAAACGAGGTAGAGGCAGACCAAAAGGTTCCAAGAAAAAGGCGGGAGTCAAGGGCAAGGTAAAAAAAAACACATACATATTTAAAATAAAACGAAATGAGAATGTCATTATATCTTGTTAATTTAGGGTGAAGGTAGAGGCCGTGGACGGCCACGCAAAGATGCACCACCTCCAAAAAAAGATGCTGCTTCTACTGAGGAAGAACAGGACGAGGATGAAGAAGATGAAGGATCTGAAGACCAATAAATACTTGTGGGTCTAAAAATCTTAGTGTAATTGTTCTCTGTGATAATTCAGTATGTGTACTGTGAAAATAAACTTTTGTTTCTCATTAATGGTTTCAAAATGAAAATATTTGGTCAACTCTCATGTTTCAAGTAACCTACTGAATTATCGTTATAGCACAACATTCTCAATTGAGATTATCAGCCCAAAGTATTCATGTAAGAAAGGTTTGTTTTAAGAAATGATTTAATTTTTAATGATCATTAGTGCATTAAAATGTAATGTATGAACTATGGTAGCTATATCTTACATGAGTAATTTTGGGAGGATTCAGCTCTCGTCAACGTACAACTTTAAGAAATAATTATAAGATCTTTCTTGTAGATTCTATACAAATAGGTATTTTGTAATTTCTTGATTTATAAGATAGATTTTTAGATTTATAACTTTTGACATACATATGTCAAGTATTATTTTCTTTAATAACGAATATTATGTTTACTTTAAATTTAAATTTTATTTTCCTATTGAGTAATATGTAAAAAATTGTATCATCTCCAGTTTGATAAAATCATGTGGTAGTTTAGTATTACATTAATTTTACATCTTTGCTGACTGAACAAGTATTATTTCTGATGACAATTTTAATAGTATATATGTCTGTGAATGTACAATTTTAGAACAAAATAAAATAAAAATCTTATTTCCTAGAATTTTATTGACATGGTTTTGCTCTTAGTAACTTAATTATTTTAAAACGTGCGAGCTTGTACATCGTCGGAATATTTTCTGCCCAAAATCTCAGATCAAACTCCGTTAAGAGTATGGCTTCGGGCTTTTTAAACCATTACTACCTTCCGAAGTATTTTTCTCAAATCAGTATCTTAAGTACCTAGTTGTTCACAGTAATATCTGTTTAAGTTAATGTCAGGAATCAATTGGTCACGCGATCTTAAAATTAAACCGTTAAATTTATTATCTGCCACCGATTTGCCAGCGAAATATCTCAAAGTTAAGTTTTAATGTTCTAATCTAAGATCTCGGTATAATTACAAGGGCTGCCCCACCCTTCAAGCCGAAACGCATTACTGCTTCACGGCAGAAATAGGCAGGGTGGTGGTACATTCCCGTGCGGACTCACAAGACTTCTTACCACCAGTAAATACTCGTTTTCCATGATTCATAGTCCATAGTCCATAGGCAGGGCGGTAGTAACTACCTGTACGAACTCACAAGACGTTCTATCACCAGTAATTACGCAAATTATAATTTTTCGAAATTATAATTACACGATGTTATTCCTACACTGGACGTCAGTCGTGAACGATTGTTAAGTACGTATTTCATTATAAAAATTGGTACCCGCCCGCAGGACTTGAATGTTTTTTTCCTACCTAGGCTGATAGCCTTGAGAGGCTATTTCAGCTTCACCCTAACATGTATAGGTGAGCTCACGGGGCTCAAACCGGAGTGTTGCTAACACTGACCTTAACAGGAGTAGTGCTTCGCAGAATCTACCACCGGAGCGCAAACGCAACGTAACGAAGTGATTATATACTCTTTGCTCAGTGGGCTAAGGATTTGAACACCGGTACATCGCTATATACAGGGTTACAGGTTAAGTCGACCTATTCCCGTTAAGAGCGTGTAGCTTACATCGTTTCTGACTGATTTGACTATGAAACACCCTACCCTAAATCTAACCGATCTGGAGATATTTCAATTTAATTGTTTTTTATAAAAAATACCCGATTTTCGGCTATCAGCTTAGATATTTTGAAATACGTAAGTCCCATTATTATTATTAATACATGATTTTTACTTGTAAAATAAGATGCTGTATGACCCCAATAACAAATATTGTACGTAAAATGAATAAACAAGTCGTTTTAGACGATTAAAACTTATAAAAACGAATAAAAAATTTGAAAGATTATTTTTCTTTCAAGGATATCTTAAAAAAATATTATGGCGCCTGTTTGGCAGATGTGCTTAACAATATCTACGTTTCATCAGCCATCCAACGAGGTATAACAATCTAGGGCTTAAATAAAACATCATAGAAAATATTTAGTTGCGAGCCTCCAGGTAGCAGTTCTAACAGTCCCTCGCGAATTGTCCTTCAATGTTAATGCAGTGCG